GTGCTAGGTTGTCCATTTTATTGGCATATAATTTTTCATATTATTCTCTAATAATTCTTTGTATTTCTGTGGTGTCATTATGACTATTCCTGTTTCGTTTATGATTTTGTTTATTTGTGCGTCTCTCTCTTTTTCTTGATAAGTCTGGCTAGGGGGTTGTCTATTTTATTTATCTTCTCAAAGGAACAGCTCTGAAGGTTTCACTGATTTTTTTCTGTTGCTTTATTATTTTCTATTTATTTATTTCTGCTCTTATCTTCCTAACTTTTGGTTTCATTCGTTCTTTTTATAGTTCTTTTAGTTGTGAGTTTAGACTGTTTATTTGGGATTGCTTGTTTCTCGAGGTAGGCCTGTATTGCTATGTACTTCCCTCTTTGAACCACTTTTGTGATGTTCCACAAATTTTGAACTGTTGTATTTTTGTTTTCATTTGTTGCCATGTATTGCTTGATTTCTACTTTGATTTGTTCATTGATCCATTGATTATTTAGAAGCATGTTGTTTAGCTTTCTTGTGTTTGCGGGGGTTTTTGTTTTCTTCTTGTGATTTATTTCTAGTTTCTCACTATTGTGGTCTGAGAAGTTGCTTGATACAATTTCAATCTTTTTGAATTTATTGAGGCTCCTTTGTCACCTAGTATATGATCTCTTCTGGAGAATATTGCATGTGCACTTGAGAAAAATGTTATTCTGCTGCTTTTGGGTGGATTGTTCTTTATATATCTGTTAAGTCCCTCTCATCTAATGTGTTGTTCAGTGCCTCTGTTCCCTTACTTATTTTCTGTCTGGATCATCTGTCCAGTGATGTAAGTGGGGGTTAAAGTCTCCTAGTATGATTGAGTTGCAGTCTATTTCTTCCTTTAGTTCTGTTAGTATTTGTTATACATATTTAGGTGCTCATATGTTGGGTGCATAGATACGTATAATGCTATATCCTCTTGTTGGGGCCGACCCTTTTATCATTATATAATGTCCTTCTTAGTCTCTTGTTACTTTCTTTGTTTTGATGTCTGTTTTGTCTGATATGAGTACTGCTACTCCTGCTTTTTTCTCCCTATTATTTGCATGAAATACCATTTTCCATCACTTCACTTTCAGTCTGTGTGTGTCTTTGGGTCTGAAATGAGTGTCTTGTAGGCAGCCTATAGATGGTCTTGTTACTTTATCCACTTGGCAACCCTGTGTCTTTTGATTGGTGCATTCAGTCCATCTAAGGTAATTATTTAAGGTGATTATTGGTAGGTATAAACTTACTGTTATTTTATTGTTTTCTAGTTGCTTTTGTAGTTCCTCTCTGTTTCTTTGTTCCTCTCTTATACTCTTTTCTTGTTATTTGATGGTTTTCTTTAGTGTTGTGATTAACAGTTTTTTATATCTATTATAGGCTTTATGTTTGTAGTTACTATAAGGTTCATAGATAGTTTCCTGAATATATAACAGTCTATATTAAGTTGATGGTCAGTCTATTTCACACACAATCTAAAACTAGTTCCTTTTTATTATTCTTCCTCCATGTTTTATGTATTATATGTAATAATCTGCATTTTTTGTGTATCCCTGACTGATTTTGTGTATAGCTAGTTTTAGTATTTTTGTTTTGCTTTTAGTTTCATACTTTCTTGGTAAGTAATTGGTCTACTACCTTTACTGTGGGTTTATTTTCACTGGTGATAGCTATTTAGGTTTAAGAACATTTCCATCTACAGAGTCTGTTTAACACATTCTGTAAGGTTGGTTTAGTGGTGATGAATTTCTTCCACCTTCATTTATCTTGGAAACTTACCTTGCTGAGTAGTGTATTCTTGGTTGAAGATCCTTTTGTTTCCGTATATTAACTATATAATGCCACTCCCTTCTGGCCTGGATGGTTTCTGCTGAGAAATCTGCAGATAGTCTGATGGGGCTTCCCTTATAAGTAATCATTTTTCTCTCTCTGGCTGCTTTCAGTATACTCTCTTTATCCTTAATTGTTGTCATTTTAATTATTATATGTCTTGGTGTTGTATTCCTGGGATTCCTTTTGTTAGGAGCTCTCTGTGCTTCCAGGACCTGGGTGTCTATTTCCTTTTCCAGACTGAGGAAGTTTTCAACAACTATTTCCTCAGAGACTTTCTATCCCTTTGTCTCTCTCTTCTCCTTCTGGTGCCCCTATTACGCAAATATTATTTCATTTGAAGTTGTCACACAGCTCTCTTAACATTCTTTCACTAGAGATTCTTTTTTATCTCTGTTCCTCAGCTCTTCGTTTGTTTTTTTTCCTCAGCTATTTGTTTTCCTGGTTCTATTCTGTCTCATTGATTACTTCCTCTGCTTACAGCAATCTGTTATTCATTCCCTCCACTGTATTTTTCACTTCAGTTACTGTATCCTTCAGCTCTGAGTGGCTCTTTTTCAACTTTTCTCTTTGTTAAAGTCCTCCCTAATATCTTCAGTGCTTCTCCTCATATCAGTGAGTGTATTTATGACTGTTACTTTGAAATCTTTATCAAGAAGATTGTTGATCTCCATTTCAATGAGCCCTCTTTCTCATGTCTTTTCCTGTAGTTTTGTATGTGGGAGGAGTTAGGATCAGACTCCTTTTTTGCTACCATCTTAGACATCCTTCTTACACCACAATTTCTTTATCTGTTCACCCCTTGATGGGCACTTAGGTTGCTTCCATCTCTTGGCAATTGTAAATAATGTTGCAGTAAACACAGGGCTGCAGATATCTTTCAAGTTAGTGGTTTCATTTTCTTTAGGTAAATACCCAGAAGTGTAATTGCTGGATCATATGATAGTTCTATTTTTAGTATTGAAGAACTTCATACTGTTTTCTATAATGGCTGCACAAATTTACACAAGTGAGTCTATACCTACACGCAGAGCAATTCCTCCTGAGGAAAAGCTTAGGGCTGAGTGTACATTTTCTACACAAAGGATAAAAAATGTCAGGAGAGACAGAGACATGATAGTGGAGGATACCCTGTCCCCACTGTGGCCCTGTAGTAGGGAGGGATATCACTGAGGGACTGGAATGCAGATTCATCTGCCCTGGGGCAAAGAAAAAAACCAAGGTTTAAAGGGCAACTGCCTTATAAGAGAAGGAATCCAATTTTCAAAACCAAAGTGCTTGTCATTTGGCAGGGGAAATGCTGGAACTTTCTTCAGGATCGAGGTGCTGGCCAACACCATTGATTATGTTCCCACCTACACAATGATAGTGCAGGTGGAAGCAGGGTCCCAAGGTACACACCAACTCCCGGCGCAACCCAGGAGGCCTCCCGGCCCCCATCCACACCCAAATGCATGCTCTGCAGAGATTCAGCAAGTCCATCAAGGTGGCATCAGTGTGATACAGAGGGTTTTTCACTGTATTAACAGTGTGAAGGTGAAAAGCCATATGGACCTATTAATCGGTGCAGAGAAAGCATTTGTCAACATTTAACTCCCTCTCATGGAGAAAGCTTTCATTTTCTTAGGACAGAAGGAAACTTCTCTGTGATAAAGGCCATTTTCCTGCAGTCACAGAGCAGACCAGGACAACCTAGGATGGAGCAGGAGGGAGTTTTCTGAGCCAATTCTAATGTCCCATGATCTTTATAGAGGGTTTGGGTTATAAACATGTATGGATTTTCAAAACCCTATGGGTGGTATTCTTGAGAATTGTGCATTTCACTGTATAAAGTTTACCGTTAAAAAAAAACTATAAATATTGAACACTAGTTACTGGAACACATGCTGAAATATTAAGAAAAATGTGCTGAGATCTGCAACTGAATTTCACCATAAAAATAAGATAGTTTGATAAATGGACATAGGGAGAGTCAAAGAAAGAAATATGTGATAAAGCAGATATAATGGAATGTTATAGAATCTAGGTAGCAAGTATACGGGAGTTAATTGTACAAGTCTTTAAATTGTCCTGAATGCTTGCAAATGTCCACAATAATATGTTGAGGGTAAGAGTGTGAGAGTAGGACCGAACGGTGGGGAGCAGTATTGTGGGACTCAGCAGTACTTGGACGCGCACAGGGCGCCACCTGGTCACACACAGGAGCTTATCTGTCACCAAGTACTTGACAGGCTTTTATATGGGAGAAGGCTGCATTTAATCTCATTTAGACCCAGGCAGTTGAAATCGGTTCAAATAAGCTATTTTTAACTTTCTTTTTTGCTTAATTTAAATTTCTACTTTAAAACACTCCCATGTTAAAGAAAAGTTGGAAAAATATACAGAAACCTTTCTTCTGAACCATTTGAAAACTAGCTACTGACATGATAAATACCATGACTGAATACTTGAGTGTATATTTTCTACACATGAGGACATTCTCCCATTACACAAACACAGCCTTCAAAATCAGAACATTACCATCAACCCATGTCTAATCTTCAGACCCCATTCAGATTACTCTGATTTTTTGGCCAAATCCCTTATTGCTGTTTCCTCTCCTTCTGTGTGACTCTTGTGTTGCTGAACACTGTTACGCCCCTCTTGGGGACAGCTCGCCAGGTTAAAACCAGATGTTCAGTACTTAATGTGTGATCCCGTATCCTGATTTCAAAAGATTGTGCACATAGTGTAGCACACTCCTTTGTAAAAATGTGTGGTGTGTGTGTGTGCGTGTGCGTGTGCAAGACAGAGAAAGAAAGAGCAAGGGGGAAAGAGCATTTACACATACAGCCAAATAGGAGAACTGAAAAACCCTGCAAAATAATGGGTGCTGTGACTAACACACATGCGGTTCATATTTTTATAAGAAATTTCCTTGCCCATATTTTCTGGTATAAATGTATTTTATTTTATTGGAAGAGAAAGGAATACCAGAAAACTTTTCAATTGTAAGTGACTTGCTAGCAAAAAAGTTAAACTATGAACCCAGAAGAAAGAGTTCAGAGCTAGAAGGCAGGTCCAGCTCTCTGTGCTTTGGTGGCTGGGGTGATGAGAATACGGGAGGGAGCGTGAGGGGGAGGGGAGTCTGGAAGCCTCTCATGCCTGTCCCTGCTCTGTCCCCACAGGCCCTAGCTGACGCGGCCATGACCACCAGGCAGGGCAGAGCTCACCAGCAATTAGCCGGCCTGCAGGGAAGACAGTTCCCCCGGACGCTGTGTGAAGCAGGTACCTTCTAAGACTCATCTGCAGCACTGAGCCCACCCTCCTCTCCATGTCCTCAGCCTTCTCAGCTCTGCAGTTCCAGGCTTCTTCTGCCATAGGAATTCACTGATCATCTTCTGTGGGCCATTGTGCCAGGGGCGGGGGTGGTGGTGGTGCATGAGGCCCCGCCTCCTGGAGCTCTCCTGGCATGGCATGCAGACAGAGGGATGGGCATGACAGGAGCCCTGAGGATAACCGAGTGGCGGGTGGGACAAAGATAGGGATGGTGAGGCCTCCCGGGGGTGGTGACTTTGATGCAGAGATCCAGGTAGGGGCCCTGAAAGTGCCCCCCAGAAACCATCACCCCAGAAGAGGGGCTGGGCTTGTTTGAGCAAAACTAGGGGGCAGCTGGGGAGTGGAGGGCAAAGGGGTCAGAGGCACAGGCGAAGGCAGATCACACACCCCAGACACCGTGGAGGGAGCATGGGTTTCATTTTTCAAGTGAAGTATTAAAGAAAGTAAAATACCTCAATATTTTTTTGTTGAATACATGGATAAATGATCCTATGTTGGATCTCTCAGGTTTAAAATACCTTGTTTAAATTTATTCAACCTCTTTTCTTTTTTACTCTTTTATGATGGCAGCCATGAATTCGAAGTTCATGTGTGGCTTGTAGTATATTTCTGTTGGCAGTGCTGGTCTAGAGTATGTGGTAGATGCAGAGCTGGGGACAAAACTAAGGGCAGGTCAGGAGGGTTCCCTAGCTGGATTCCACCAATGCCCAGCCATCCCGCCTGCCTCTGGGAACCCCGAGGCAAGTCAGGCACCAGCTTTCCTCTCCCCTCCCAGGATCTTATGCAGATGGAAATGGAGATTGTCGTGAATGCACAAATGGAGTGGATTACACCAGTCATTTGAACAACCTCCTTTCCTGTATCCCCTGCACCCCCTGTAAATCAGGTATGGAATCCATGGACCCCAAGCCCAGAGTGGATACAGGTGGGTGATCACATGGTAATCACAGCCAATGTGGAATCTGAAACGGGTTCCAGACTGACTTGGTCTTCATCATACTCTATTCCAGGGTTCTGTCTTAGGTCAGTAAGATAAAATACAAACAAATCATTTTTATAATGCATTCACCTTGCATGGAAACCTTTCAAAACATCAGTAAGGAGTAAGGTAATAGCTGTCCCTCAATGGGGGCTGTATAGTTACAGCAGAGAAAGAGGCGTGGCCACGTGGGAAAGTGCCAGGTCTGAGCTGTGACCTGGGTCTGGTTGTGGCCAGGCCCCTCTTAGCCCTGTGCTCTGTGCTCCCGGGGGGTGCCTGGGCTCTCTCAGCCTTCACAGCATCAGGCCCCTCAACCTCCCCAGCAGGGCCAGCTTTGGGCAGGTCACCCAAGAGTTCCTTTCCATGCCGGGTCTCTGAAATAACCTTGCTTTCCCCCTGAACCCTGTGAGCTAATAGATGGTACCTTCTGACCCTGATGTCATAAATAATGAATCATGGTCCTTCATATACACCTCAGTTACTGACAGGTGAATGGTGGCTCTTCTTGTGTGCCCCCTGTGTGTTGCTGCAGAAAATGGACCCCAAAATTACTTGGTAAACTGAGTGGAGCTGAAGGGTTGGAGTTTGGGTGATGAGGGAAACTGAAAACAGTATCTTTTGTCTTCAGATGAACGAGAGATAAGTCCATGCAACAGGACGGTAGACAGGAAATGTTGGTGCAAACCTGGCACTTTCCGCAGAAACGATTCCCCGGAGGTGTGTGAGGTGTGCAGCGTAAGGTGAGGCATGGGGATTGGGGGGCTCCCAGCCTGCATGGTCCTCGGTCTGCTTCCTGGCGGCCTGCCACCGCTTCTGGGCTTCCCTGTGGGGTCTTCTGAGCCTTCTGAGCCCCTTGTCCATCAGGGTGTCCCCTTCCACACCTCTTTGGCACTTCCCTTGGCCAAGGGCCATTAATTAGGGCCTGTGGTACTGTGAGTGGCCCAAGAAAAGCTTTAGTTACTTCTGAAAAGTAAAGGAAAAAACTGAGTAGAATACAGCCAGATTTATATTCATCTTTATAACAATTCAGTCATCGCATGTAATTTGTACTATTTGTTTGCGTAGGCAGAGGCCCATGAACACAGCAGTGCCCCTGCCCACGTGCGTCCTGCCAAGACGGAGCCTGTAGCCCCTGCTGTTCCCGTAGAACCCTGAGGCAGCTCTGTGGGCCCTCCCCCACCCTGTTCCCTCAAGGCTCTGTGTTTTCCCTGTTGTGGGACTTAGGGGGCCACAGGAACTTGATCTTCTCTGACCTCCAGCGTTGGCTGTGATCGGTAGGCCAGTCAACAGGGGGAGGACAGGAGGGTCCTGTATTAGAGGGTGACTGGAGGACAAGATTCACCTTGGGCACAGATGGGCTTCTGTCCCTTGACCTGGTGTGAGACTCCCCCTGCAGCCCGGGGAAGGGCAGCGTTGGCCTCCAGAGAAGCTCTGCTCTGAGCTCTTAGCCCGAGGCTTGGGGCTGAAGGGCACCTGCTCAGACCCTCCTGTCCCCCAGCAAGGAGTCAGAGGGGACCCGGCCCTGCGGGGAGGAGAAGCCTGTTCTTTCTCCTCATCATCCAGCTTTCCTTCACGGATTCCTCTGTGTCCTCCCTGTGTCTGTACCTAGGTGCCCTGACGGGATGGTTGTGGCCAAGCCCTGTACCCCCTGGAGCGACCTCAAGTGTGTCAACCAAAATTCAGGTACCCAGGCCAGCCGGGAGGCCCCGGTGCCCGGAGAGCCAGTGCCCGCCAGCCCAGAGCCGCCCACTGTTCCTCTCCATCCACAAGGTGCTGGTGGCCTTGTCTGGCCTGTGGCCGTTGGCTGCTGTCTGCTGCTGGTGGTGCCACTGATGGCATTTCTTTGCTGGACGCACATCTGTCCAGGTGAGGCTGGGGAAGGACGGGGGAGGCACCAGCACCCTCTGCCTCCACGTCACCCCCTGCTTTGTTTCTCCAGAGGGCAGGGTCCTTCCCTCGGGCTCCCAAATCTTCTCAGTCTTGTTCCCCGTGATCACCCTCCATCTCCCACCTCCCCAGGCCTGGATCACACCAGTCCCTCTGTCTGAAGGCCGATGGTGGCCTCTGCCTGGGTGGGTAGGCCAGCTCTTCAGCTCTTCAGGGCCCCAGTTGGGACAAAAAGGCTATTTGCACCTCAGTTGGGTGACAAGAGTCCGAGTAGAGGGTCAGAGCACTTAAGCAGCTTTGCTCAGAGCAGAACCCAGAAGATTCCATGTGTGTTTACTTTTACCTCATTTCCCTTCTCTTGCTCCTCCCTGAGGGTGCCCCAGAGTTGGAACGGCCACCACCCTGTCACCAGGCTGCCCCCACCCTGCCCCCGAGCATCCTGGGGAGGCAGGCCCTCCAGACAGGTGCTAAGGTGGATGCCCCTTTCATTCTAGATTGTGGAGTGGACCCCAAGTGCACGGACAGAGTGAGTTGGTTTCTCAGGACCTGCTGACGTCAGGCCCCCAGCAACTGCTTCCCACCTACACCAAGGCCTGGGTGGGCGTGGGCCCAATTTGTCCTGTCCTGCTGCCCCAGCTCTCTTATGGGGCCTGGGCTGGCCATGGAGGGCAGTAGGCTGGGGCTGGGAGTCTGAGCCCTCTCCCTCCTGCTGCTGGGGAGACCCCCTTTCCCCACAGCCCTGCACCCTGGGGTACGGGGGTCAGGCAGCTTGCTGAGTCCCCTTAGCACAGCACTGTGATGCTGGTGCCAGCAGCAGAGTCCTGGCTGTCCTGAGCCTGAGGGACAGCCTGGAGGGTGTGGCATGGCAGAACCTACCAGGGCCCCAAGACCCTGCAGCCAGCCCCGAGGGTGCACTCCTGAGTTAGCTCTTTGCCTTCCCGAGGACTTTTTCAGGTGCTTGAGTTCCCTGACAGGGCCTGGGATTGTGGACAACGCCCACAACCATATCCTGAGCGACAGAGAATCACAGTCCTCCATGATCACTGAGCAGGAGCAGACCGGGGTCATTGTGGAGCCCCTGGTGAAGGCAGAGCATCTCCTGGTGAGTGGGCGAGAGGCCACGTGGGGCCTGGCCCTTCTGCTTGAAAGACCAGGCTAGTCAGGTGTCCTATCCCATCAGAAAGTCATGATGGAGGGGAAAAGGACCTGAGGGGTGGGAGCTGTGTGGGGGGAGAACCCGTCACCCTGACATGGTGACTGTACAACTCAAAGGCCAATGATGCTTTTTGTCGTCTGCCCAGTTCTCCCTGTATCCTCAAAGCCCAGGAACAGGCAGGCACAGAGTGGGCACACTTGTGTTCATTGAGTGAACGGGGTCTCCATGATAGTCCTGTGTGTAGTTACAAAATACTTCAGTAAGCCATTCCACGTAATAGTAGGATTATCCATCAAATTTGTTACAAAATTATTACTACATTGAACAATAAGAAAGTCAATCTTAGTCCAGATACCTGATCATCATATTTGTTTGTCATCTTAGAAGAAATAGAATTTTGGGGCCAATATGTACAAGTGCTTTTTTACTGTACACACACACACACACACAGCTTTTTGGTTCATATTAATTCATCAGTTTTGATATGACAGTAGTAAGTTTGCAGTAACATTTAATTTTTCATTCCTCGTAAGCTTAGAACTTCATTCCCTCCAGCATAAGATGGCGTGGCCTAACCGCTCACGGTTTTTTTTATTTCATGATGATTTTTAGCATGTAGCAGCAGCAAGTCTCAATCTGAGCTATGAAATGACGTGAGGTGCTCCCTGATTTCTGGGTGCCTCTCTCCTTCCTCCAACCCCACTTAGCAACTGAATCTTCCTTTTCCTATGTTTTCGGCCCCTCCTTTATCACAGGTGAAGTGTTCAGGTGGCCTGTGGCCTCTTTCCATCTAGAGTGTCCCTAACCGTTCCTTTCCTGTCTGTGCACTACACCCTTTTTAAAGAAAGAGAATATATAAAAGGAAACCAACAAAAAAATAGGCCAATAATCCCTGCATCCTGACGAATCACTGTTCACATTTTTTTCAAAGCACTTAGTGCCCATCTACAGGGGAAATTTTTCATAGTACAGGAAGGTTCCAGTAAGCAGGGCAAGCCCCCAGCACTTCCTCCAGCCCCCTGACTCTTTGCATGTCAGGAAACTACAGAGATCAATTTTTGTGATTCTTTGCTCAAGTATTTATGCATGTGCCATCTATAAGCAGTACTGTCACAAATGAAACCTAGTATGTTTTAATATCTGAGAGAGCAAAAGCTTCCTCCTTACTTTTTAAAATTTGTTATTTTTACTCAGATAAAATTTGGAATTGTTTTATAAGATTCCCTTCACCCCCCAAAAAAACCTTTTGAATTTTTTTATATTACCTTATCTTTATGAATTAATCAAAGACGAATTCAATATATTCAATATTTTTCTTATCAAAGAAGATAGCATTTCAAGTCACGGGTTTTTCATGATTCAATTAAAATTTGTGCTTTTCTTCAGATAAATTATTCCTATTTCTTGTCAAAGCAGTTTCTTTGTATCTTACATGTTAGTTACCCTTATCGGTTGGATCCTCTCATAATTCCATTTCCTAATATATTGTTTCTACTGTGTTTTTTAACATTCATTAAGACATATACATTCATTTTAAAACATTGTAAACATTAGGACTTTTAACATATACAGTCATATTTAAAATAAAGATTATCATTCCTGCCCCTTTCCACTCACCCTACCTTGGTTTTATTCCACATCTTGCCGCAGAGCCCAGAACCCACAGGGCAGTGTTCAGAGATGCTTGGGGGAGACAGGTGTTTGATCTCACTGGGAAGGTGTCCCATATGTCCCCTTTGGGAATGACATGCCTCTTCTTTCCTATGGGATTTCTATCATTATGGACGCAGCCTTGTTCGTCTTTTTTAAGCCACAGAATTGGTATTTAGATTTGCCAGATGCTTTCTCAGCGTCTATGGAGACTATCAGAGGCTTTCATCACTTACTGAGACTATTGATATGGTGCGTATTTATTGATCAAGGCACTTTCTCATTCATGGAATAAATGCTTACTTAAAGCACCTTCATATGTAATTCTTCATTTGAGTCACCTAAGGCCTGGGAGTGCATGACCACGTCCTGAGAGGTGGATGAGAATGGACTGCAAGGGACAAAGGGGAACTGTGTGGGCTGGCAGAAGGTTCCATGTCTCAAATGGGTGCTGATTACTGAGGTGAACGCAGTTGTTGAAGTTGGAGCAGAGACCTAAGCAGTTAGTGGTATCGAGGAGTTGAGTTTGCTCTCTCGGCTCTCGTCCCTGCCGCAGCAAAGAACTGAAGGGCAGAGGCACAGCAGTGAAGCAGAATGAAAGTTCTATTTGAATACACTCCACGGGAAGAGCAGGCCAGGGTCAAGGTAGACAAAGGCAGGCTTACTGGAATAAAGCAGAGGAAGGGGAAGCTCGCTGATGGGAACTTGCAAGCTCAAATCAGAGTTCTCAGTAGCTTCTCCCTGTCTGTCTGAACTAGGATAGAAGGAGGGAAGACTTGTGCTTAAAGTCTGGAAAATAAAATGAAATAGCATTGACAAAGACACCACCAGAAGAGCACAGAGACAAAATGTAGTAAGTTGAGCAGTACGAAGTCTTCTAAAAATACACACTCCAAGAAAGAGGAGTGCAGGCGACCTCAGAGAGAAGGTGCATTTAAGGACTTAGGATTCTGCCTTTTAAGGCTTTCAAGAATGGGATGAAGATAAAGGGATGGGGGAGCATAGGCTTGTCATGCGGTCTCATGATGTCTGTCTCCACTGAAAAACAATATGTCGTTATCTGTAGTCAGTCCTGTACATAATTCTACAGGATAAACTTGTTCTTTTCCAACATAGTGGCCACCCCCCAGCACTGGGAGCATCAGGTTGTTGCCTGATTACCAAAGAATATGCCAGGAATCTAACTTCCCAATTTTCTTTTAAAATGGAATCTTAGTCTTAAGATAAGTCCTTCCTGTTCTTATTATGCATTCATATTATGGCACTTTTAGGAAAATTGATCATGATGCTTGCCCCATGTCTGCCCTATCCCACCTGCATTAGCTAGAGCAAGTCTCAAGGTCAGCCCAGATTCAGCGCATGTGGGATGAACTCACATCGCAAAGGGCGTTAACTCTGTGAGTCCTTTCTGGCTCTCTGGCTTTATCTGATTGGCCCCCTGAGTTCTTGGTGGGCCCCAACCGCTTCTCATCCTGCTTATATCTGTCTTGCTGCCAGATGCAGCGGGACTGCAGGAAATGGGGGCCTCCATGGGTACACAGGCCTCAGCCTGGAGCTGGGTCCATCTCCATCTTCACAGAGACCCGGGAGGGGAGGCCACAGCCCCAGGCCACACAACTGGCTGCTGTCAGGCCAAGTTCTCAAATCCAGGACTCCTGATTCACAGCAAGGGCACCCCCCACTGTATTTTACAGGGACCCCCAGGAACTGAAGAGTTTCAGGTGAGAAGCCGGCAGCTGGTTCCAGCCAGCAAAGCAGACGCTACTGAAAGTGAGTGTTGTGTGGGGACTGGGGAGCAGGAGTTAAGGGAGGAGGAACGGTTGTCCTGAGGGCTGTCCCCTAGCTGTTAGCGAGGTACAGAGCCAGGGCCTGTGCTGACTGTCACTGGGCCAGCTGGTCCCTATACACCTCCTTGTGCCTGTACCCCTAACTGCACCCCCTAACCCCTCCCTGCCCTCCCCTCCTCCCGCACCTGCCCCTCCTCCCTGGTTGGACCAGGTCCACTGAAAGCACCTAAGGGGGTGTACTGTTCAGCAGGCCACCCACTGGCCCCAGGAGGCAACTGACCACCTGACCTATGGCTGGGCCGCATTTGATGAGCTGTGGTATAAAGTGGAAATGGTATTTCAAAGAACTGGTAGAGAAAAGGAATGTAATATAGCTCACTAATAATTTTTTGTATATTGATTACATGTTAAGATGAAAGTTTTTGGAATGCATTGGAAACTACTTGGAATATATTGAGCTTGGAATACATTCATTATTAAATGAATATTCATTATTAAAATAATATAAAAGTATTTCATTAAAATATAGAATTATATGCATAAAATGTATAAACTATAAAATAATAATGCATATTTAATTATTAAAAATAGTATCAGTTGTTTCTTTTCCTTTTTCCCAGTGCATTAGGAAACACAGCCTCGTCTTGGGCGCTCGCCTTACCCATCTGTGGACTGCAGAAGGCAGTGCGTTTCACACCCCATTTGGGGCCCAGCAGTCCATGAGGGTGTGGCGCTCGCTCCTTCTCACAGTCGGTCTTCCTCAGCCTGGGAGGAGGCCGAGCTGGGTGTGAGGCCAGAGGCCTTGCTGCCTGCTGCCCCGTTCTGTCCACAGAGCAGGCGAGCCACCAGCCCTGCCCACAAATGCAGCTTCCCCGCTGTGACGGCCTGTGGCCCCCTTGACTGTCCACCCTCTGGTGCCTATCACAGATTCTTTCCCTCTCCATTACCTCCACCTCGCTCCCAGATGTGCTTAGGGCACATCACATCTTGCCTTAGCGCAGGATTCTCTGTTGACCCTGACTCCTCGTAGCCTTGAGCACTAGTGAGACCCACATGGGTGGCCCACTTGTTCACCGAGGGGAAGTTGGGAAGGGGGTTCAGAGCTGGTGCAAATTCACCAGCAGGGGGCGCCTGCTGTCTCCCACCCTCGGGTCCATCTACTGGATCTAAACTGCAGCCCGCTCACCTGCCTGTTTCTGGCTCTCTCCCCACCTAGACCTGCGCCTGTTCTTCGATTACTTTGCGGAAGTTGTGCCGTTTAACTCCTGGAACCAGCTCATGCGGCTAATGGGCCTTACGGACAACGAGATTCATGTGGCCCGAGCTAGAGCTGCAGACCCAAAGGATTCCCTGTATGAAATGCTGGTGGTCTGGCTCAAAAAAATGGGGCAGGGTGCCTCAGTCAACATGCTGCTGGCAGCCCTAGACACGCTGGGGGAAAGAAATGCAAAGGAAAATATTCAGGAGCACTTGCTGGACTCTGGAAAGTACGTCTATGAAGACGGGGCCAGCTCGGCAGTGCTCTGAGAGTTCTAGAAGCACCGTCTTTTTAGTTGTTGTTTTTGTGTTGTTATCTCCATCACAATATTTGTTATTTGTGATGTATTTATTATTGTTTTTAGATATTTGTGATTGCACCTGTTATGTGATACTGTAAATTAAAAGCATTAGATTAGACATAGATGTGATGGAACCTAGGCTCAGCAGCTCCCTCTCACCCAGGTACAGGTTCAGACCTGCTCAATAACATGGCCTCTGATGAAGCTAATTTAGAAGCCAAAACTGAAAAGAGGAAATTAGAACTGGAAAGAAATTGGAAGCAACTCCAGACTCTGCAGAGTGTCAGGCCAGCCTTTACGGATGAGTATGAGAAGATTGAGGAGGAATTGCAATAACAATACGACATTTATCTGGAGAAATTCCGAAACCTGGCTTCTTTGGAACGACAACTGGAGGGTCATCACAGGAGAGGTTTGAGGAAGCTGAAAGTACTCCATGTCTGATGCAGAACAAGCTAAAGGAAGAAGAAAACCGACTGCTCAAGAGCAGAAGCAATCATGACTCTGACATTGACACCCAGGAGGATGATGAATCTGACAGCGAACTGGAAGAAAGATGGCTGTCCGAGCCGCGGATGGCCATGGAGGTCCTCCCAGCAAACGCATTGTGGGCACAGTGCAGGGAGGAGACTCGGATGACGATGAGGACTCGGAGGACAGTGAGATCGACAGGGAAGATGGCGAAGAGGAGGATGACAACTTGGAAGATGAGAGCATCGCTGCTGCCTCCCCACCTGCGGCCAGCTGCGGGGTCCGGAGACCTGAGCCCCTGGATGAGAGTGACGACGACTTCTGACCTTCTTGCCAAGGGACCCAGACAGATTAAACCCCCAGATTTGTAGGTAAATGGGAAGCTAGAAGGTTAGGAGGGAAACATATAAGCCAGCTGGACTCACTGCTGGAGAGGCGGTGCCTGCTTCTGCTTTAGCTTCCCGCGTTCTCCGCAGAGCTCAAACACGAACCCAAGCGAGCTCCAGAAACGATTTTTTTTGCCTCATTTGTCTTTGGAAACTTGGGAAATGCACGTGTTCTTGATGATTCACATTCACAAGACAAAAGCTCAGGAAGAAATAAGGACAAACACTGTGAAGACTTGACTATTGTAGGTGCCAGATGCTTCTTCTAAGAGCCGGTGGGACTGAGCCAGGGCTGGTCCTGGGCACGGGCGCTGCTCTCGGGGGCCTTGAGGGGCATCTGCCTGGGATCGCGGGTCCCCTTTCATTTCAGTCTTATTTTCTCCTGCATGCTCACAACACCTAGCTCTACATGTATTTTGTGGCCTAAAGCTTTCAATTCAAGTAAGGGAAGTTAGGTGAAAGAAAAGCTTTCTTTCAAAGTCAACAGAGACATGCTTTAGATTATAAATACTCCGTTTTCTCTCAAAAGGCTGATGTTCCTCCTCAGGGAAGCAACTGAAGGAAAAAGTGTCTGAACAGTTTCTTGTCTCTGACTTTAAAAGCAGACTGGAATCGAGTTCGTTGGAGTGGCACTGGGGGACCTCCGTGTTGGGAAGCAGGAAGCGGCAGACAGGCAGTCTTAGTGTGGGAGGCACAGAGCAGTTTCATTTATTTTTCAATTATGAAGTCAGAAGACTTGGTGAAGTTACTTACTTCTTAAAAAGGCATTTAATACCATATTTTTATATCATTAAATAAGTTTTATTTCAAAGTACAAAAAAAAAGCATTAGATTCACAGGCACTGAGAAGGGACTAGAGGTTACCAAGGGGGTCGGGGACTGTTGAACCACTGTGATGTATATTTGATAGTAAAAATAATGTCCGTTATGCACATTCTTTTATATTTTTGTATGTACTTGTAAAGGCATGAAGAAAACATTGGAAATGTACTTCCTAGGTTGTTTACATGGTAATCCTGGGGAAGAGCTGGCAAAACCAAGAAGAAATACAAAAGCAGAAGAAGGAAAACACTTAGCTCTGTGGGGCGGCCTGGGCGGGCCCCGGGTCTCCCTCACACACATTGTGACCCGCTTACTATGACTGGCAGCTGCTACAGGGGCCACTCTTCTCAGCATGCTGATTCTGTGTTTGAGTATTTACATAAGTATTGCACATCCATATAAATGGTACATATCTTATTTGCAAGTGAACAGAGAGTGAGGAGACATAATATCCCCAGGCAGCCCCATGTGTCGGGTGTTGCTGAACTAGGTAGCCATGCATGGGCCCCTCACCCCTGGACATGGGCGGGCAGGGTGGGAGGTGGGTTAGATGGGAGGCAGCACAGGTTCTGTGCCATATGCCGTTTCTGGTCCTGTGAGCAAACCTTCAGCGCCATGTGGGCTGAGGAGCAATAGGATAGGAATGTGCTTCTGGCATTCTGCCCTGGTCTCAGGGAGGGGAGGTGACAGTCAGCGCTTATGGGCTGTGGCGTTTACGAGCCTAGCACAGGATGGGCTCTCTCACTGGTCTGGAATCTGAGTCCCAGAATTGCCTTTTTGGATTCATACTGGCTATTTAAGAATTTTAGTCCCTCTGTAAGCATCTACTTTTTGCATAAATGACCTATACAAAAACACCAGTTCCTAAATACTGTGAGAATTGACCTAAAATGGCCAGATATGTTGGGGCTTTTGTCCTTTTACTGCTTTGTTTTATTATTTTTCAAAATTCATTTTATTTATTGAATTTTTTATTGAAGTATAGTTGATGTATAATATTATATTGGTTTCAAGTGTACCAACACTGATTCAGCAGTTATGTACACTATTAAATGCTCACCCCCGCTAGTGTAGTCACTACCTGTCAACACAGAACGATGTTACAAAACTAGTAACTATGTTCTCTGTGCTGTGCTTTCATCTGTGACTATTTTATGACTGAAATGTTGTGTCTCTTTATCCTCTTCACCTATTTCACCCACCCACTCAGCCCCTCCCCCATGGTAACCAAAAGTCACTTCTCAGTGTCTATGAGTCTGTTGCTGTTTTGTTCATTTTGTTGTGTTTTGTTTTTTCCACGTGTGAGATCATATGGTATTTGTCTTTCTCTGCCTGGATTATTTCACTGAGCATACTACCCTTGTAACCGAGTGAAAAAGCTGGCATCTCTGCCTCCATGTTGTCTCTCCCTCCTCTTGGGTCAAAAACCTGCTGCCTGTCAATCATAAGGAATCTTGCTCAAAACTTAAGATTGATGCAACCTGCCCCTTACCAGAAACTCATCTTCCCCAAGGAGATACATAAGTATGTACAGAAATGATGACTGGGTTGTTAAGGACTTACAAGAACATCATGGCCAGACCCATGTCAGCAAAATGACGAGTCAGCTAACCAAGGACAGGGAGTTTCACAGCCCTCAGACCCTTGCTGACGTCCAGATGTCTGAAGTTGATCATCACTTCCTGACCTCAACCCTATGTGCTCCCCCTTCCCTATGTACAGGAAGGTAGAAATCAATCCTGGGTTACAATGGTGCTTTAGGACATTAGCCCATCATCTCAGTCTGCTGGCTTTCCAACTTTCTTGTCATTTTCCTTTTGGGGGGCTTGTTGTGCAGCAAGTGGCACAAGTTTGGACTGGGTAAAACCCTCTGGGCCCATCCATGTTGCAAATGGCAAGACTTCTTTCTTATTCATGGCTGAATAATATTCCATGTATATCCACATCTTCATCCACTCATCTATTGATGGACACTTTGGTTGCTTCCATATCTTGGCTATTATAATAATGTGGCAGTAAACAGTGGTGCATATATCTTTTTGAATCAGGGATTTGTTTCCTTGGGGTAAATTCCTAGAAGTGGAATTACTGGGTTGTATGGTATTTCTGTTTATGGTTTTTTGGGGAACCTCCACACTGCTTCCCACAGTGGCTGCACCAACTAACATTCCCACCCACACTTTAGGAGGGGTCCCTTTTCTCCAGATCCTCACCAACACTTGTTACTTGTCTTTCTGACAGGTGTGAGGTGCTATCTCACTGTATCTTTGATTTGCATTTCCCTGGTGATTAGTGATGTGGAGCATCTTTTCATGTGTCTCTTGGCCATCTGGCTGTCTTCCTTGGAAAAATGTCTGTTCAGATCCCCTGATTTTGTTTTTTTAATCCTTGGTAACTACTCCAGCTCTTCCACCTTAAAGCCACTGCACAGTCTTCTTATCACGACAGGTTGAGATCATGGGGTGCTCATTGCCCAGGGCTCCTGTGGCTTGGGCCAAACTGGGAATGCCTGAACTTTTAGTCCCTTTCAGGGTATATTGTTCACTGGAGTTTTTAGGAGGGGGGACCCTGGTAGCCCTGGTGCTTCCTGCCTCTGCTGCCCCCTCCTGGCTGGAGGCCCTGCCCTGCCTCTTCATGTGCAGATGGGAGTGCATCGTGTTAGCCAGTTTTGTCACCTGGCCCTTTCTCAGAGGACCTCCTCAAGCACCCAACTGTGTCACATGCATTCATGTTCACCTGTCTCTGTGTATTTCACCAGGGAGAACACCCCCTGGGAGCACGTCGCCTTCTCGATTGGCTTACACCCAGGACACGTATGACATGTTTTAAGGGAATCCTTCCATGCTCCTTCCAGGGGAAGGTCCCAGCTTTGAAGGGTTGTTGGAAATACCAAATGACACAAGAAGGCCATAATGTACAAAATACTTATGTATTTGTGAAGTTATGACCGAATTAAATATGAAACATATAAAAAGAGGTGTTTTTTTTCTCCCCTCTGCCCCCCACTCTCTGAAGCAGCTGAGTGAGACACAGGGGTTTGTGTCCTCGCTGTGACCCCCTCCTTCCTCGCCTATTTAAGCTCTCAGGCTGCCCTGCATGGGTAGATTTCCTGCTCTGATTCCCTGGATTTCCAAGTGCCAGGCTCCTGGGGGACTGACGTTCAGCCCCTCCTTCCTACTGCCTTTGCCCGGGACACTGGCCCTGGCCTGGTTCCCCTGCAGGTGTCCCTGGATTTCACCTGGGCCTTCTGGGTTCCCACATGGTGCAGACCTGCTCTGACAGAACGGGGCTGGGTGGGGCAGTGGGTGCCTGGGAGGTGAGCTGGCCCTGGTTGCTGGGGTGGCCTGGGCCCCCTCTCCTACAGGCTCTCTGCACCTCTACATCCTGTCTCTGGCCTTTCTGCATCCCCATCAGTGGCCAGATTACTCGGTGCTCCTCACGGACACCCACCTGCCCTCCCCTCGGACTTCAGGCCCCAGCTCTCCCTGTCACTTGGAGCTCCTGGGAGGCCCCTGGCCCCACCTCTGCCCCCCATCCCCAGAGGGAAGTTGCTGGGTGCAGAGCTGCACACCGCCTGGGCTCCTCAGCCCCACCCTGAAGCCAAGAACTGTGGGCTCGGCAGAAGGGAGGCTAGGCAGCCAGTGGAGGGCAGCACCTGCCTGGCTTCCCAGCCCGCCACGCTGGACGAGCTGCACAGCCTGGGAGAGGTTTGGGGCTCAGACAACGTGGGATCTGCAGCTCCTCTCTGCACGAGGACTTAACACCAGACCTCTAGGCTCACCAGCACAAAACTGTGGCAGACTTCCTTGGCTTCTTAGATTGCTCTCCCCTGCCTCCAGCCAGACTCCTGGTGGTGCAGCCCGAGCCAGGGCCCAGGACCTAGAGCCGCACCCTCCTGCAGCGCCCTGCTCTGAGCCCTAGGCCAGGAGCTCAGTTGTCTCCCTGGCCCCACCCATCAGAGGAGGAGCTCTGACTTCAAGTCTGAAAAGGGTGCAGGCAGGAAACACTGGGCAGGATTAGAGGCTGGGGAGAGGGTCAGGTGTGGCCCAGCTTCTCCCCTCGGGGCTGGAAGCTGCCCTACCGACCCCCCCGCGATCCTCCAGCCTCACCCCCTACTCTGGAGGGTTCTTGCTTTGCTCCTGCTCAGTTCTCCCCCTTTTCTCCTTCCCCTTTACCCCAAACCAGCACTAAGTAAGGCCACATCCTGTGATCCTTCATTACAGAGCCTCCTACTATCTCAGTGCCCTTTGCTTACCTTTGACCCCTACCAAAACCCTCTACCCACCAACATACCCTCCACATCCTGTGGAGTCACCTTCTGAAGGTGAGGATGACCTAATCCTCATGACAGGCCAAGCAAAGTCCAAAGTCATGTTCGTGGCCCGAGAGTGCCCTTTCCCTGCCCGGGACCTCCATCTCCGATGCTGAGGGCAGGATCGCTGCCCCCCAGAGCCAGCCAGCAGCGTCAGGGCTCCTTGCTAGCAGGTGACACGTTCTTCCCTGACAGGCACTAGAACCAATTCTACATCCTGAACCTCTGGCTCATCAACATGGTGGGCCCTGTTTGGCTTTATAAAAATATAAGCTATACAGGGTCTTTTTCTGTTTTTCTTTGTTTGAGGAGATAGAGGCTAGAGTGATTTTGTTGGTGGTGATCTATTTGTTGTTTGGGGATTTTTTTTTTTTTGCTAATTCTGCCCCACCCCTAAGAAGCTGTGCTGACCGAAGGCAGGGGAGGAGCCCAGAGGGGTGCAGGATTGCTGCCTCCAGAACCCCACCTTCCTTCTCACCCCACTGCAGCTGTTTCCTTTGGCTCCATCTCCAAATCTGAGCAATGAAGGTGGGGAGGGAGAGGTTTCTCACTGCACCAAGAGGCACTGCTTCTAGGCCTGGAGCTCTGACCACCTTGTCACTGTGTATCAGGCCTGATGCCTACGGTCCTGGGAGGGATGCTGGCAGAATGCAAGCCTCCCCACTTGTGCCCTCTGGCAGCTGCACCCCAGGACATAGAAGCCTTGAGTTGGGCTCAGAAGGCTTAATTTCTACCCTGACTTCTCCAGGGAGGATTTGAGTAGGCTCCGTGCAGAGATGACCACAGAACATTTGCAAGCCTCAAGTCCATCAGCAGAGAAACATGGCCAATAGAGGCAGGACCCTCCCAGCACAATGCAGCTTCCCAGGCGGGGACTGCCTCCCCAGAGCAAGATGCACAGCCCCCTGGCTGGGAGAGTGTTCCCTTTGATGCTAGGGTTCTCCGAGCCAGAGAGAGGATGCCAGGGCACTCAGCTCACGCCCTGCTCTCCACCTCCCTGCCCTGCTTTGGAGCTGGCAGGGGCCCCCGTTCTGATCCCCAAGGCCCAGCTCTCTGGCTGAGCTGCACTGGCTCGTGAGAGCAGCTGCACCCTTCGGGTCCTGGTTCTGTGAGTCCCCTTGTCCCTGGAAGGTGGAGGGGGCGATGCAGCAGAGCAGAGGGGCAAGGGCCAGTGGGGACAAGAGCAGCAGGGTCGGAAGAGGGCGGCAGCATCTCAGACTATAGCCGAGGAGGAAGATGGGGATGCTGAGGAGGCTGCAGAGGAGGATGGTGAGGAAGGACTGTTCCAGAACAGCCACCGCCGCTTGGGCTGGCGCTTCAGGTGGAGATAGTCCTCCTTCTCACGCTCCTTCCGAGCCCGCTGGTAGTGATCCTCCTCCTTCAGGTACCAGACGGGCGGCCACCGGTGCTTCTCAAAGTACTCCTGGTTTTCTGGGGACACACACAGTAGGGCTTGGTTAGAAGGGAGGCAGGAGAAGGGGAGAGATGGGGAGGGTGTTCAAGGGAAGCCCACCGCCCCCCCTGCTGCCCAGGGACTCGGCAGCCTCAGTCCCTGCGCCCGGGAGCATGAGCCCTGCCTCCCTGTGCCCCAGTGTGGCTGCAGAGCCCCCTAGGAAAGTTGGGAGTCCCATGAGGGACTGACAGTGCCAGGGCTGGGCACTTTCACTCGTGCTGTTCTTCAAAGACAGAGGGAAGATCTCCACGTGTCCTGGGAATAAAACAGTCCACAATGAACGGAGCCAGGGAGAAGGTGAGCAAAGCTGTCAGCAGGAAGGAGCTGGGCTTGGCAGGGCTGAGAGCAGAGCTGCTGAGGTTCTGGGAGGGGGCAGGCTGCAGGATGGGAGGCTCAGCAGGAGGAAAGCCAGGCCAAGGGGCTCGGACCCATCTGGGACAGCATGGGGCACAGGGAAGGCTTGCAACCAGGACACTGATGCCATTGCAACTCTGCTTTAGAACAAAAATGCTAGAAGGGTGCAAAGGAGAGAACAGGGTGGGGGAATCAGTAGGGGGTCACTGCCAAGCAGCGGGTGCCCTGTACAGACCTCAAGAACACTGAGTGGCAGGAACTCAAGGAGGCCAGCGGCACCCACCCTGTCCCACTGAGTCCGTGCAATTTCTACTGGGCCCAGGACCTGAGACAGTAATTAAGCAGAGGCAGAGCCATGGAACCTCAGAGGATGTCCAGATCTGGGCTGTCCCAAATGACAGGAGCCCATTCCTAGGTGGTGACATCAGTATAGTGGGTCCTGAGCAGCATTACAATTGATATACTTTAATATATGTGTAGTGTGTCACAATATAAAATATATTTCTTATTGTGGAGTCCTGTCCAAAAAGTCTGAAAAATTCCAACTCTAGTCCAACACCCTCTTTGATCCTGTGAGAAACCAAAGTGCAAAGAGGTTGCCCCAGGCCTCCAGCTGCCCTGCCTTTTCCTGAGCCCCCTGAGCTTGGCTGGAGGCAACTGTGCAGGCTGCTCCCCACCTGCAAGGTCAGGTTAGGCTTAAGGACTTGGGCAGTGGCCAGCTGCCCTGGGGTCAAGTCGGCAGCAGCAGGTCACGCGGGAGACGCTCACCTGGGGACATGGCCTTCATGTCTCGTGGGAACTTGCGGCACACATTGTTGTAGTTGGTGCAGATGTGGTGCAGACACCAGTCGGCCAGCTGGTATGCACAGTGGAACTGGGGACAGAGAGGAGTGTCTGTGCCGGGACCCTGGGGTGGGGTCCGCAGAGGCACAGTTACCTTCAGAACCGAAGGTCTGGGGCAGGTTGGCAAAGGCCCTGCAGCCACAAAGAGCCCACCTTGAGAAGCAAGCCTACACAAAACTGTGAGGAGGCAATATTTGATTTGCTCCTTGGCCGCACCACCTCCACCCCCAACCCCTTACCCCTGTGCAGCCCCTGAATCCAAAGATCCATAACCTGAGGTGGTGGTGTCCTACTGTGCCCACTCCCCTCCAATCTTACCCCACCCCGTGTTCTTCTCCCCATGCAGGCCAGGGTGTCTGCAGCTGGGCTAGCAAGCCCACTTTCCGGCATGTGTCTGTAAGCCTCAAATCTGCCCTGCTTTCTCTTCATAAACTAATCTTTAGTGATAGACTTTCTGGCCATTACAAGAGATTTTGCTTATTTGTTTGGGAAAAGTAGGTGGGTGGGCAGTTAATTTTAGATGGAGTATCCTCACTGTCCCTTAAATGACCTCAGGCAGGCAGCCACCATTTTCACACATGAGCCTGGAGTTCCCTCTCCTGCCCTGTGGTTGCCTGATGCCACAGTCCCTTTCTCCCATGGCCAGCTTCTCCTCTTGGCATGTCTGGCATGGAGGAGGAGCTGGGCCCTGCCAATTATGGAAGTAAGTCTGCCAAGGGGTTTCCTTCCCACCCATCACCTCTCAGCCTCCCCCATTTGCCACCAATGGACAAACAAAACCCAGACTTGAGAGTACTGGAGGGATTTCTTCCCCTGTCATCATACCTGAGCCAGTTCCAGGAACACAAGGACATCCCCATCAATGTCCACCATCATCTGCGTTGCTTCCATCAGCCCGGTCACCGTGTACTGCTCTGTGACACACACAGCCAGGAATCAGCTGAAGAATCAGCACAGACCACAGAAGTGGGCATGCATTCACGTACACCCCACCATAAGGGCCCATCACCCAGCAAGGAGAGATCAGGGCCAGGGGCAAGTTCCAACAGGCCAGGAAAGGCCACAGGTGATTGAAGTCAGCTCCCACCAGTGAGGTAACTGGGATTAGCGCAAAACTTTCCCAGAAGAGACAGGGTGAGAAGTAAAGACGGATGTTAGAATCACCTACAATTTTTCAAACTATGTATGTTGCACCAAGTAGAAAGAAAGCTTCCTGTGGAATCAGCCATTGATACTGGGAGAAAGGGTGTAAAGTCTCAGGATTGCTGAGACCTACAAATTAGAACTGCAGATTAAACCTAGTTGTTTGTATTAATTTAAGTTTTGTAACAAACTGTGTACTAACCTTGCATATTTTGTTAAAACATTTCTATTGAAGAAATAAAACACTCCTGAATTTTAACTGTATCAGTATAAACTTAAGAGGTACTGTATCTTTAAAAATGCACAGGCATGCCTGGGAGATACGAAGGGTTTGGTTCCAGACCGCTGCAATGAAGAAAATATCACAATAGAGAGAATTACATGAATTTTTTGGCTTCCCAGTCTATTAAGTATGCAGTGGCATTATATCTACAAAAAGTGTACATGCCTTAATTAAAAAATAGTGCTAAAAAATGCTAATCATCATCTGAATGTTCAGCGAGTCATAATCCCTGATCACAAATCACCATAAGACTGTAATAATGAAAAAGTCTGAAATATGATGAGAATTATCAAACTGTGATACAGACACCGAGTAAGGAAATGTTGTTGTAAAAATGGTACAAATAGATTTGCTCAACACAGTGTTGCCAAAAATCAATTTTTGTAAAAAATGCATATCTGCAAAGTGCAATAAAGCAAAATGCAATAAAATAACATTTACCCTCAAATATACCTCCTATCTCAGTCCATGGAAAAGACCTAGAAACAATACCCACCCCAGCAGCTACAACCTGCTCAGACTGTAGCCTTGAAATGCCATTTCCAACTCTAAGAAATCAGAACTCCTTAGAAAAATGACTGATTCCAGGTACATGGCAGGAAATGTACAGGAAATGCCCACCTAGAATGATGAATCTTGTTTTTCCAGGTAACCAGAAACTCAGAGACTCTGGAGTCAGCTTGAAGAGACTCCGTCTCCTACTAGCCAAAGGTGCAGTACAATATTTGAGCTTCAATAAAGATAAGTGGAATTATTTGAAACCAATTGAGTATGTTCAAATCTAAGAGTTCATAATGCTTAAAAATAAAAAACTAGCCACACAAAAAAGATATTGGCATGAGCAGTGAGGCAGAAACCTCCTCCCTAAATCACATACAACAAGAAAATACAGCAAATACAACTAATCCTGAATGAGCAACCAGAAAAAAGACTGCTACAGATGGCCTACATCTGGGGAAAACCTCACAGAAAAGAGTAAAGTAGCAAAGCTGTGATCCGGCGTGACCCAAGCCCTCCCCTTATCCTAGCTCACAGGTGAGAGGAAGAGAAATGGAGCGAGAACAGAGTAGAAGCCCAGGACTGCTAAACACCAACCCCTGGAGATCTGCTCCAGGAGCATGAACTCACATTACATGGTGCTCTGGAGATTAGAGGGGTTGGAAAGCAAAGACAGGTGGAATACTAGGAGAGACTGAGATTCCAGCCACTTGTGGAGAACAGGTACCCACAACCAGCCACTCTGGGAGGAAAGAAAGACAGGCATGTTGAAAGACTTCCCAACAGTGAGAGGGCTGCTAAAGGGGCAAGGATTACAGAGCTTGCTGCTCAGCAGAAAGGACAGATGGACAAAATCATCCCACACATTCAGCCCAGCAGGTTGGGAACTTTCAGGAGTTTCAGGAGCTCTGTCTCCCAGGCTGGCAATGCAGCACTGAGGACCCTCACTGTGATATGCAGCCTGCCACTCCTTCCTCCCTGCTGGCACCTGCTCACAAACCTCATGCCCCCGCCATCACACCAGGCCAGCTGGAGGGTGACCTCTCCTAATGCAGCTAGAGGAGCATAATGCAGAGTCTCCTCCCTGCATAGTCAGCCCACTGGCCTGGCAGTGGAGGCAGGCACTGCAGCTGGAAAGCAGAAATGAGCTCTTTCCTCTGGGCAGGCAATGGCACCACACACTTGGGAGCCCCATCATCACTCCAGGTGCTGGGCACCTCCAGAGAGTAGAGCTTCTGGGCACTAGAGGGTGCTGCCTGCACAAAGTTATTATTTCATAGTAATCATTAGAAATAATGTAATGGCAAAAGAACCTTGTACAAACCAAAATCCCTCAAACACCAGAAAGAGGGCTAAGTGACACACAATCTTCTTCATAAACTTTTCAAAATAAAAATCATAAACATGCTCACAGAGATACAGAAAAAAAATTCAAGATCTCAGGGAGGACTTCAATAAAAAGGTAGGAACTTTGAAAAATATAGAGTATCTGAAATGAAACATACAATGGAGGGATTTAAAAGCAGATGAGATGAAGCACAGGAGATGGTAAATGAAATAGAAATTAGAGAACAGGAATACAAAGACACTGAGGCACAGAGAGAAAAAAGGATCTCTAGGAATGAAATAATAATAGGAGAATTGTGCAGCCAATCCAAACAGAACAATATTCCCATTACAAGAAGAAAAGAGAGAAAAAGGGATAGAAAGTGTCATTGAGGAAATAATTGCTGAAAAGTTCCCCAGTCTGGGGAAGGAAATAGTCTCTCAAGCCATGGAAGTGCACAGATCTTCCAACATAAGGGACCCTAGGAAGACAACACTGAGACATATAATAATTAAAATGGCAAAGATCAAGGACAAGGACAGAGTATTAAAAGCAGCCAGAGAGAGAAAAAGATCACATACAAAGGAAGACCCATCAGGTTATTATCAGACTTCTCAGCAGAAACCTTACAGGCCAGAAGGGAGTGGCATGATATCTTTAATACAATGAAACAGAAGGGCCTCCAACCAAGAATACTCCACCCAGCAAGATTATCACTTCAATTTGAAGCAGGTATTAAACAATTTCCAGATAAGCAAAAGTTGAGGGTATTTACCTCCTACAAACTGTCTCTACAGTGTATTTTAAAGGGTCTGTTACAGATGGAAGTGCTCTTAAGACTAAACAGCTGTCACCAGAGAAAATAAAACCACAGTAAAAGAAGTAGACCAATTAATTACTAACCAAATGCAAAATTAAATCAGCTACCCCCAAAGTCAGTCAAGGGATACACAAAGAGTATAGAATATGACACCCAATATGTAAAGAATGGAGGAGGAAGAAAGAGATAGGAAGAAAAAAAAACCTTTAGATTGGGTTTGAAATAACATAATAAGCGAGTTAAGTTAGTCTGTTAAGATAGTAAAGAAGCTTCCCTTGAACCTTTGGTAACCATGAATCTAAATCCTGCAATGGCATTAAGTACATATCTGTCAATAATAACCCTAAATGTAAATGGACCGAATGCACCAATCAAAGACACAGAGTTACAGAATGGATAAAAAAACAAGACCCATCAATATTCTGCCTACAAGAGACTCACTTCAAACCCAAAGACATATACAGACTAAAAGTGAAGGGATGGGAAAAGATATTTCATGCAAATAATAGGGAGAAAAAAGCAGGAGTTGCAATACTTGTCTCAGACAAAATAGATTTCAAAACAAAGAAAGTAACAAAAGATAAAGGACGTTACATAATGATAAAGGGGTCAGTCCAACAAGAGGATACAACCATTATAAATATCTATGCACCTAATGTAGGAGCACCTAAATATGTGAAACAAATACTAACAGAATTAAAGGGGGAAGAGAATTCAATGCATTCATTTTAGGAGACCAACACACTACACTCCAAAGGACAGATCAACCAGACAGAAAATAAGTAAGGAGACAGAGGCACTAAACAACACATTAGAACAGATGGACCTGACAGACATCTACAGAACACTCCACTCAAAAGTAGTAGGATATACATTCTTCTCAAGTACACATGGAACATTTTCCAGAATATATCACATGCTAGGCCACAAGAAGAGCCTCAGTAAATTCAGAAGGATTGAATTTATACCAGCCAGCTTCTCAGACCACAAAGGTATGAAACTAGAAATAAATTATGCAAAGAAAACAAAAGTCCACAAACACATGGAAGCTTAACAACATGATCCTAAATAATCAATGGATCAATGACTAAATAAAAACAGAGATCAAGCAATATATGGAGATAAATGAAAACAACAATTCAACACCCCAAAATCTGTGGGACACAGGAAAGGCCATTCCAAGAGGAAAGTATATAGCAATATAGGCTTACCTCAAGAAAGAAGAACAATCCCAAATGAACAGTCTAAATGCACAATTAATGAAACTAGAAAAAGAAGAACAAATGAGGCCCAAAGTCAGTAGAAGGAGGGACATGATAAAAATCAGAGCATAAATAAATAAAATTGAGAAGAATAAACAATAGAAAGAATCAATGAAGCCAGGAGCTGGTTCTTTGAGAAAATAAACAAAATAGATAATCCCCTAGCCAGACTTATTAAGAAAAAAACAGTCTATACACATAAACAGAATAAGAAATGAGGATGGAAAAATCACTAGACACCACAGAAATACAAATAATTATTAGAGAATACTATGAAAAATGATATGCTAACAAATTGGATAACCTAGAAAAATACAACCTTCCAAGACTGACCCAGGAAGAAATAGAAAATCTGAATAGACCAATTACCAGCAATGAAATTGAATTAGTAATCAAAAAACTACCTAAGAACAAAATCCCTGGACCACATGGCTTCACCACTGAGTTTTATCAAACATTTAGAGAAGACCTAATACCCATTCTCCTAAAATTGTCCAAAAAGTAGACGAGGAGGGAATACTTCCAAACTCATTCATGAGGCCAGCATCACTCTAATACCAAAACCAGGCAAAGATACCACAAAAAAAGAAAACTACAGACCAATATCCCTGATGAACATAGATGCAAAAATACTCAACAAAATATTAGCAAACCAAATTAAAAAATACATCAAAAAGATCATTCATCATGACCAAGTGGGAATTATTCCAGGGATGGAAGGATGGTACAATATTTGAAAAGCTATCAACATTATACACCACATAAACAAAAAGGACAAAAATCACATGATCATCTCAATAAATGCTGAAAAAGCATTTGACAAAAATCAACATCCATTCATGATAAAACTCTCAACAAAATGGGTATAGAGAGCAAGTACCTCAACATAATAAAGGCCATATATGACAAACCCACAGCCAACATTATACTTAACAGTGAAAAGCTGAAAGCTTTTCCTCTAAGATTGGGAACAAGACAAAGATGCCCACTCTCCCCACTTTTATTCAACACAGTACTGGAGCTTCTAGTCACAGCAATCAGACAACACAAAGAAATAAAAGGCATCCAAATTGGTAAGGAAGAAGTTAAACTGCCATTGTTTGCAGATGACATGATATTGTACATAAAAAACCCTAAAGAATCCACCCCAAAACTACTAGAACTAATATCTGAATTCAGCAAAGTTGCAAGATAGAAAATTAATACACAGAAATCTGTGGCATTCCTATATGCTAACAATGAACTAGAAGAAAGAGAAATCAGGAAAATAATTCCATTCACAATTGCATCAAAAAGAATAAAATGCCTAGGAATAAACCTAACCAAGGAGCTGAAAGACCTATACCCTGAAAACTACAAGACACTCTTGAGAGAAAATAAAGAAGACACAATAAATGGAAATACATCCCATGCTCATGGATAGGAAGAATTAATACTGTCAAAATGGCCATCCTGTCTAAAGCAATCTATAAATTCAGTGCAATCCCTATCACAATACCAACAGCATTCTTCAACAAACTAGAACATACAGTTCTAAAAATTCATATGGAACCACAAAAGACCCCGAATAGCCAAAGTAATTCTGAGAAGGAATAATAAAGTTGGGGGAATTATGCTTCCCAATTTCAAGCTCTAGTACAAAGCCACAATAATCAAAACAATTTGGTACTGGCACAAAAACAGATCCATAGATTAATGGAACAGAATAGAGAGCCCAGATATAAACCCATACATACATGGCCAATTGATATATGATAAAGGAGCTATGGATATGCAATGGGGAAATGACAGCCTCCTCAACAACTGGTGTTGACAAACTGGACAGCTACATGTAAGAGAATGAAACTGGATTCGTGTCTTCGTGTCTAACTCCATACACAAAAGTAAAACTCAAAATGGATCAAAGCCTGGAATATAAGTTATGAAATCATTAAACTTAGAAGAAAACACAGGCAAAAATCTCTTGAATATAATCATGAGCAAATTTTTCCTGAACACATCTCCTTGGGAAAGGCAAACAAAAGCAAAAACAAACAAATGGAACTACATCAAATTGAAAAGCTTCTGTACAGCAAAGGACACCATCAGCAGAACAAAAAGACATCCTACTATATGGGAGAATATATCAGTAAATGACATATCTGATAAGGGATTAACATACAAAATATGTAAAGAACTCACACACCTCAACACCCAAAAAGCAAATAACCCAGTTAAAAAATAGACAGAGGGTGGGAACAGACACTTCTCCAAAGAAATTCAGATGGCCAACAGGCACATGAAAAGATGCTCCACATTGCTAATTATCACAGTGAGATATCACCTCACACCAGTAAGGATGGCCAGTATTGAAAAGACAAAGAACAGCAAATGCTGGCAAGGATGTCGAGAAAGAGGAACCCTCCTACACTGCTGTTGGGAATGTAAGCTAGTTTAACCATTGTGGAAAGCAATATGGAGGTTCCTCAAAAACTAAAAATAGAAATACCATTTGGCCCAGGAATTCCACTCCAAGGAATTTACCCAAACAATATAATTTCTCAGATTCAAAAAGACATATGCACCTGTATGTTTATTGCAGCACTATTTACAACAGCCAAGATAAGGAAGCAACCTAAGTGTCCATCAGTAGCGGAATGGATAAAGAAGATGTGGTACATATACACAATGGAATATTATTCAGCCATAAGAAGAAAACAAATCCTACCATTTGCAACAACATGGATGGAGCTGGAGGGTATTATGCTCAGTGAAATAAGCCAGGCAGAGAAAGACAAGTACCAAATGATTTCCCTCATTTGTGAATTATAACAATGAAGCAAAACTGAAGGAACAAAACAGCAGCAGACTCACAGATTCCAAGAAGGGACTAGTGGTTACCAAAGAGAAAGGGGGTGGGAGAGTAGGGAGGGAGGGAGGGAGGGAGAAGGGGATTAAAGGGCATTATGATTAGCACACATAATGTAGAGGGGTCATGGGGAAGGCTGTATAGCACAGAGATGACAAGTAGTGACCCTGTAGCATTTCACTATGCTGATGGACAGTGACTGCAATGGAGTGGGTGGGGGGGAGTTGATAATATGGGTGAATGTAGTACCACAGTGTTGTTCATGTGAAATCTTCATAAGATTGTATATCAATGATACCTTAATTATATATAACAAAAAACTAATTGGTTATCCTCAAAAAATGATCAGAAACAAAGTTATCTTGAACCCTGGTAAATGAAAGAATCAAGTAGTCACCTGCCTGTTGCATATGAACTGTACCACTGGGTAAACCAGTGGTAGGTAAGGGGAAGATTCTCCTTTTTAGAAGTATTCTAACAGCTTAAAGAAGGGGAGATTGAACTGGAATATTAGCATTTCACAACACCTAATACATTAATGGATCCAGGCAACTACATTCAATGACTGCTAACCTCATGAAAAGAAAGAACAGCAGACAATCCATGCTGCTTGATGAAACAGAAAAAACCTATGAAGTAGTCTTACCAAAGGAAAACTGAATGTGAATCAGATCTAGCCTCAGAGCTAAGGGTTTACAGGAAATACGGTACTCTGTAGAAATGTGGTTGTTGAAAATCTAGATATTCTAGATCATCAGAGGAATTTTTTTCCCCAACAAACTGCAAGGGAAAAAAATTTTTTTAATGGACAAGGTATGTATAGATTAAAAGAAACTTAGAAGATATATAAAAAATAAAGCCATGCTCTCATGTTTAAGGATGTACACTTGGATGATAAAACTAGGAAGATGATTAGAGAAGGGAGGCCATAGGAAGTTCCCTGGAAAGAGTAATAGTAGCCACTCCCGGGGAGGAGAGAAGAACTTGTGTTTGGGAAGGACAGCAGGAGGACTTCTGGGTGGCTGGCAAGGTTCTAGCTCGTGATATGTGTTATGTTGCTATATAATAACTCACTAAGCTGAACATATGTTGCATATATTTGTACTTTGTTGAACAATAAAAGCTTTAAGCTGAAATCAGTGACTTCATAGAAAGCGTATCTCATAAAACATAAAGCAACCCCAGTTATACCATATTTAGCATGTTCTGCTGGTCCTTAAGGTACATATACAACCCATTTTTGTATATGTTGTCTAGTATGTATGGACCATTTCATGGGAAAAGTCATTCAGTGCTATTTTCTATAAGCCTTTCCATGTAGCACTGCAGTTTAACATTTTTAGTGGCTACCTTGTGAAAATGACCCATGTGTGCTTATTAACCAGTGGTGCCTACTAGACTTGTTTCTGATTGCCTGCCGTAATGAGACAAACTATATAGAAACATCTTATACAATTTTTTCTTTTGAGTCATTTCTTTGGAGATAGTCTTTCCAAAATTGAATCACTCAGTCTAAGAGTCTGGACAGTTTTATGTGCTCTGGGGACACCACACCCCTTTTCATAGACATACGTGGATGACATGCCACGGCCGTGATTTTTTGAAGCCTTTCTCTTGCTCTCTGCCCTCAAGCCCTCTGTATCCTCAGACTCCCTCTGACTCAGGTCTGAACATATCTGGTTCTGATCAATGATTCTGCCTTCTTCCTGTGACCAAGGCCCACATCAAAACTCACTTCTCACCATGTGATTGCTGTTTCCTCATGTCTGAGTCCCGATCTTGATTGTGCACCCTGGGCCCCAGCAGCTCTGACACTGGGGCCATCCCTGAACCGTAACTCAGTGTCTCACACCCTGTTCTCTGCCCCCATGACCTGCCCAGGAATATTAACTTTGGTGTCAATACCAGTACAGGTAGCAAGGCCCACACCAATACAGCACAAATGCCAATCCCAGCATCGACAGGAGGCGGCCAACAGTCTGCCTGCATCACTGGTCCCAGACCCCTTCCAGCCGGAGGCCACCCTTTCTCTCCCCCAGCCCTAGGCCCTGACCGCCCATTGCTGGGTCTCCCTACTGCCACAGTCCCTGCTCCACCCCAAGGGCCTCTGGGGTTGGGCCATCCTAAAAGCTGAGCTCCAGCTCTCATCACCTTTACAAGGAATTAGGAGGGGCAGGTCAATGTTTGTTGTCTGTTTCTGGAAGAAGGAAGAGAAAGTAAAGGTGGAAGAGAAGGCAGAGGAAGGGAAAGAGGAGGAGAAGAAAAAGGAAAGGAAGGAGGCAGAGCTGGACCAAGGGTAGAAATGTGCAGGTGTGTTCTACTCTTCCTGAGCGCAGCCATGCTGGTAAGAGCGTCAGCACACTGTCACCTGGAGACCACTTGTGGGGCTGCAGTAACCTCTGGCGAGGGCCCACACAAAGACCCCATCTAGCCTCACTCACACACGCTTCTCTACCTCTCCATCGCTGCCCAAGCCCCGACACGCAGTGATAACTTCCCTTTACGTAAACCTGTTCCCTTGGTGCTGGTGGCCTGCCCCCTGAGAGGAGACAGGTAAGAGGAAAGATCTTGACTCCTGGGCTCCCCTGACTCCTCCCCCAGGGAGGCCCAAGGGCTCGGGCTGGTTACCTGTGAGGGCGACCAGGTGCGGCAGGCAGAGGCGGTTGGCCAGGATGATGAGCTTCATGTCGTCCAGGTCGGGACTGGAGGTGAACGTGCCTGTGTAGAGGTATTCCAGCACTGCTCGCATGCAGCTCTTGCTTGTGTAAGGAAACACCACCTGCGGGTGGGCAGGAAGAGGGCAGGCCCCCGTGCAGTGAGGCTTCTGGGAAGAGTTCTCAATCCTGAGAAACTCAGAGGGCCCTGGCCCACGCAGCTGGCTCCCCCACACAGGCTGCCACCCTGTGCTGCCCCCATCCCTGCTCAGACGATCCCCACTCTCCCAGGCCTGTATGGCAGAGCAACTACCAGCTCTAAGAGCTTTTAAAAAGGACCCAGATTCTCACTGGCATCCTTCTGAAGCCAGTCTGGCTTAGAGGATGGCTGCAGGAATCCTTGCGGCCCCCGAAAGCCATCCTGGCCCTCGCAGCCCTGAAGAGAGCAGTGCAGTAGGTGTAACCGAGCCAAGCGGGCACCAGCTGGCTTCCCCCCGGCTGCTGCTTTGGGCCTCTGGGATCTCTCCAGAGCGGCACTGTAACAAAAACTGCCTTCTCATCAGAGGCTGCACTGGGAATCCGCTAGAGCTTGAAAGCTGCTTCTATAGCAGCTCAGCAGTGCCTGGGGCTGGCAGGCCCCAGGGCTTTGGAGAGCTACTGTCACCCTTTGCATACCTCCATTCCACCCATGCCTCAAGGATCAGAGAGACTCACTTCTCAACCCCTGCCCTTGGCCTTCCCTAAGGCCTTGCTTCCCAGAAATCTTGGGAAATTCCTGGTCTTTGTCACATTGCTCTCAGTCATTTTTCATTTGACTATTTGGTGGGCACCTACTGGGGAACCAGCACTGAGGGGGCTACTCAGCAGAAGTGGAAGACCCGGTCCCCGCAGCAAAAGAAACCACAGACCACTTGGGCACACTGGACACTGAGAACCCTGAGCAGCTGCACAGAGTAGCACATTGTCAGCTGCAAGGCTCGGGGGTGGACAGTGGATGCTGCAGGGGTCCAGAGAAGATGCACAGCACCAAGGCCATGGCCCGGGCTATCTGCTTGGTGGCAAGAATGGAAAGGAGAGAACAGGTTTCAGAGAATATTTCTAAGGATGCATGATAGGCCCAGCCAACTCTGTTGAGATGTGGCAGGTTATCAGTGAGAGAACAGGTGAGTTGCAGTGGCATGGATGAAAGGGGAAGGCGATTATACACAGCATTTCTTTCTATTTTATGTATCTGATGCTTTGATGGTGGAAGGGCTTGCTGCCCTTGAGGAACTGCCCTGCCCAGGACTAGGCAGTTCCTAGACAGCAAAGGAGTCCCAGAGAGCAGGCCTTCCCTATGCAAACCAACCAATCGAGAGCCCACACCCAGCCTCCTCCCCTGTCTGCTCTCCCACTCCTGGCCACCATCCCCTGCACTAATCACCCCAGGGCCAGGTACCAGATGACTCTGAATAACCCTGGGCCCCAGAGCCAGGGAAATCATTCAGGCCAGCCAATCCTAAACCTGCTCACCCTGCCTCGCCTGTTCCTTCCCAGAGAAACCACAATACGGACTGTCACCCCCAGTTCCCCTTGCTCCCGCTATCTCCTGATCCACCCTGGTGCTTCCCAGGGTGGGGCCCCAGGACATGCACTCCCCCTCCTATTGAGATCTGTCAGTATAAATAACCATATGTCTTTTCCATGGCAATTTTCTTCTGATCTGGTAGATTCATTAGACCTCAATAATAATAAAATCTGCATTTTAAAACAGTGATGGATTCCATTAGGAACACACTGAATTTTTCTAGTTGTTTCACAGGTGTCTGGGAGAAAACAAGGCACAATGCATAGAGCCAAGGAATCAGAAGGTGGAGTCCTAATCTCTCCTTTCTATTATACAACTTTGCACCCATCACTCACTTCTCAGGGCCTCACTTTCCTTACATTTAAATTAGGAACTGTAAGCTACATGTAAGAGTCATGAGTGGGGTGATACATCAGATAATGTATTGAAAATGTTTTCTAAATTCTAACGTTAGGATGTTATTATAATTCCCTGTCCTGGTACACTGTAAAATCCTTGGCTATGGAAACCATCTCATAAACTTCTCTTGGGCCCATCCCTCAGTGGTGAGCACACAGTCGATGCTGAAGAAAGTACCATTGAATGACAGATGCCTCAGGTGCAGAATATGTTAAGTCTCTCTCTTCCCCACCCATATGCATCCTAGCCTTACCTCCCTGGTGGAACTCTCCACAAAGGGCCCTCCGAACATGGCAGCCATCCAGTCACAGCTGGAAATCAACAGGGGCTTGTGGGCGCTGATAGTGCCATCATCCAAGATGAAGGTCACATCTGTCGGGGGGGAGAAGAGGCATCATGTGAGGTCATGGTGAATGAAGACTGTGGGACAACCACCCCAAGGCTTGATACTACACCCGAACGATGGTGTCTTTCTGAAGCAACAGCCATGGAATGCTCTGAGGCCAAGCTCTCAGGTTTGGGGTGCTAGGCCTCAGGAACAGAGCCACCACAGCTAAGACATCAGCCACCGAGAAGACTCAGAGGGCTAATGGGACCAACCCGGGCTCCCTGGAAGGCTGCTTGGAGGACCGTGCCCTGCCTTCCTGCAGCTGGTTCCTAAGACCGTACCTGAGAAGGTGCCTTTTGCCAAGCACTCCTTAACTCGGTTGGTCCGGCGGACATGGAAGGCCTTGGTGATCTCCTGGTTCATGAAGGCCTCGTTGTTGAGAATGTTAGCCACCATCATGCGCAGATCGAAGACCTCCAGAAGTTCCGCAATGTGGGCAATGTGCATGAGGTCCCTCTCGTTCTCATCCAGCTCTCCGGTATACAGGTACTTGAGAACAGCCCGGAAGGGCCCTGGCTGGATGGAGTTGTCCATTTTTACCACCACCATGAGCCGGGATTTGTAGGTCAGAGGATCTTCCGCCATCTCTTCCTGGATGCTCACAAAAGCTCGGCTCCAGGAGGAGAGCACTCGGCCCCGGCCCGGCAGGTACCCTGTCCCATTGCCCCGTAAGATCCCGTCGCTGGTGGAGGCCCGGAGCCCCACAGGCCCCGAGCCCCCGCCCTCCTCCGCATTCTCACACACGTCAAAGCTGGCCGCCCGAAGCAGGAAATCCCGGCCGTGGTGGTGGTGGTGGTGGTGGTGATGTTGGTCAGGGTGACCCCGCTGGTCCTCTGGGCGGGAGCCTGGCCCCGAGGGGCCCCCCAACTCCCCCTCACTCAGGTCCATGAGGAACAGGTCGTAGAACTTGGAGGAGGAGGTGGAGAGGTAGATCTTGTGGGCAAAGATGCGCACCCGCTCCTGCAGCACCAGGATGACATCCGCGCACAGCGGGTCCTCCAGGAGGTGGGCGGGGCACTCCTCGCTGCTGGAGGGGGGCTCGGGCACCACAATGATGGGGGGTGGAGGCTTGGGAGGCAGGAAAGGCGCCTGCAGCAGAGGCCGCTGCACGTTGCGGAGGTGAGACTTCCAGAACTGCAGGTGCCGGCGGGAGATGAGCGCGGCCCGGATGGCGTTGTCAAAGACGTCCTTGATGCCAAACTGGGCTACCACGCTGGTCTCGTAGTAGGGGATGCCCAGCTCCTTGGCCACCTCTCGGCCCTTCTCTGGGGGCAGGATCTCGTTGGGCTTGATGGGCCTGGCAAGTTCAAGAAGGGAAATCAAACTCATGTTGGGGAGGAGCATGGTGGCGGGACAAGCAGCTCTCCAGGGCCTTGCCTGTTCTTCACCCGGCTCAAGGGTTCATGCTCAGGATCTGGTCCCTGGCCATAGTCTTGCCCCGCTCATTTCCACAGAATCTCTATCCCCTCTTTGTCCGACCAAATCCTACCGGTCCTTCAAGGCCCACATCCAATCCCCTCTTCTCCCAGGAAGCCAGCCATATCTATGCCAGGCCCTGGGGATCTCCCCAGCTCAAAGCAGGGGTAGCACTAACGACCTCTCTGGCAGTCAGCATGCAATGTTCCACATTGGTTTTTAATGTGTTCACATACTGAGTTCATCTCCCACAAGATTAAGAGCCCCTTGTGCAAAGACTGCCTCCTTTTCTCCTCTCCTGATGGCACTCAGCCCAGCATTGCCCACATGGTGTGGAACAGATGAATGTATGGATAGATGGATGGATGGAGGGGAGGATGGGTGAATGAGTGAATGAAAGATTGAGAACTCCTGTGACTCCCTACATGAGCTTGCTTCAGATGGAGGGACATGGAGAGCCCAGTGGAAACCCTCAGGCTTGAGAGGGAGCCATGGAGATGTGCTCCCCTCCATCTTCCTCCTTCCCCTGGCCCTAGGCACCAGCACCCCCTACCTAGCCAAGGGTCGCCTGGCCCTATTGACAGCCTCCAGGTCAGCATAGCGCAGGTCCAGCTGGCAGCCCACCAAGATGACAGGTGCTCGGGGGCAGAAGTGCTTGATTTCCGGGTACCACATGGTCTTGACGTGGTGGAGGGAATTGGGGTTGGCGATGGAGAAGCACAGAACTACCACATCAGATCTGGGAGTGAGAGAGTGAAGTTATGAGCAGAGAAGCCTAGTGGTAAGTTACCTGCCCCTGGAATGAAGAACACACGTACTGCCCACCCCCCAACACACACTGTAGACCCCACCCATCTTATGTATCTGCTCACATCTTATACAAAACATATAATAATGAGAACTCTCATGTATATACCTCTAATTTAGACATGTTAGAGTTTTCAGTGACTCATTTTGACCTCATGGCTCTCTTGTGAGCTCAAAATTACCATTTTTACCATTTCACAGCTGAGAAAAATCTTAGAACAGTTCCTCTAATGGCTCAGATTCACAGAGCTAGTAGGTAGCAGGTCTAGGACTCAAACCAGGCTTCCTGATCTCAAATCCAGTTCCTTCCATCACCCTGGGCTGCCTCCCCTTTGAGAGTCTGCCATGCTGATTTCTCTGCTCCTTCCTCCAGTGTAAATTTCACAGGGTGGCTCCATTCCTTGGGTCAGTGGGCAACCCCACCCACCTGGCTCCCTGCAGGCAGCCAGAGGCCTGCCCTACCTCCCATAAGCAAAGCGACGGTCTTTGTGGTGGTCTCCAAAAGTGTCCCAGAGGCGGAGGGAGACACTGACATCATCTACCACATCTCGGGAGCGTTCCAACACCTGCAGAGGACAGGCAGGGAGGGGTGGGAACCAAGGGCAACAGTTCTAGGGGCCCCTACATGTCAGCCCGGGGTGTAGCCTGCTCCCCGCTCATGGTCCCTGGCAGCATGGGGGAGGAGGGACAGAGCTAGCTCCTCCTCCTGTGTGGGCTGCCCAACGCTTTGATCCAGGTGCCATCTCTGTACACTCACTCACAAGGGAAGCCTCTAGGCTGGACAGAGGCAGCAGACTAAGAAGGCAGATTACTGCAGGTACGGAAGGGGTCTCCACAGGAGCCTGCCCTGCTCCTAATTTTCCCCGCAAATCCTACATCTACGAGCCTCTGAGCTTTTGGTGTTAGCGGCAGCTTCTTTCCTCCTCTCAGCTCTCAAAGTCCCCCAACCCCCACTGGTGCTCCCCATTATGGGGACTGTGACTGCACAAGATGCTGTGCTCCAGGCAAAGCTTGGGTCCCAGGCATCAGCTTGGCCAAGCAAACGCACAGGGCAGATGGTCAAAGACCCCTCCCTGGGGTGGGCTCCCCTCAGCCCTCTCCAGGGGCGCCTTCCACTTCAGCTGCCTGCACCCCACCCCTAAGGGGCTTCTGTGAGCTCAGCCCACACCCCACTTGAAGACATGGCACTGGGACTTAGGAAGATGCCCCAATACATGATGTGGACCCCAGCTGAGTGGCCTTGCAGCCTTACCTCCTGGCATACCCGATACTGGTCGATGGCCCAAACAGTGGGCACATGGGTGGCGAGCAGCTGGTACTGGGTGAGGGTGGCATTGCAGGCCCGGGCACAGATGAGCCTGGTCTTGCCCACGGCGTTGTCCCCCACCACAACACACTTGATGGTCTCTACATTTGGCCTTTCATAATCCATGTCAGAATCCATTAATTGGGACCTGAGGGAGAGGACAGAAGCAGTCAGGACGGCTTGGCACACCCGCTCCCTCAGGGCCGAGGCCACCAGCTCTCCCCAGCCGGGGCTGCGGGTCTTGAAGCATTTGAGAGGACAGAAGGGAGTGGGCAGGTTTCGGGGCGGCAGCTCCGCAGGGGCCTGAGGGTACAGGACCCCATCCAGGCTGAGAGGAGCAGTTCTCCCGGACGAACCGCTGGTCTCCTTCCTGTTGCCACCATCCTCCACCTGGGCTTCTGGATGGGGACAGCCCGTGAGAGGCCAGGAGGAGGCAGCCCAGGGCCTGTCCCCACTCTCTCCGAAAGACAAGAGGCCGCCTGGGAAGCTCACTCATCATCTGCTCTCCTCCTCCCGCAAGCAGGGCTGTGGCAGCAGAACAAACAGCTGAGGGAAGCAGAGTCCAGGCCAGGTCCCCACCCCTTCCCAGCATGCCTGGGGGCAGGCCACTTTCAAATCTAATGGACTTGTCGGAGCTGGGTGGGGGCTCTCCTGGCCTCTCCTTTGCCTCTCCCTCTCAGGCTGTGGATTTCTAAGCCCCAGCCTGCCTGTGGCTACCCTTTAACCCAGCCCCCTTTACGGACGGGCCGCCAGAGATTTTCCTGCTGGTCCCTCGGGTGGGAGGGTGGGTGGATGTATCTGGCAGCGCCTCCCCTCCTCTGGGTCTGTCACATTGCCTGGGTGGCTCATTCAGCTGCAGGCCTAGTTCTGAGACGGCAGTGGGAGTGTATGTGGCCCTGGCCACACACTCTCTATAGTCAGCAGGCCTTCCCAGCCCCTCCTGAGGCCCGCCTGCCAACCACCCTGCCTCCGGCCCCTGGGAGAGAGAAGAATGCCCCCCTCGACACTTCCTGGGGAGGAGGAGTCCCAGGCTGGAAGCCCCCAAACACCTGGCCCTCCTGGAAGGATGTTTGCTGAATTGTCTGCCTAGGTAATGGGGTTCCTGAGGGAAGCAGAGAGCCAGAAACTTGGGCCTGAGTTTCTAGGCAAATGCTTGCCTCAATGTCCTTCTGTGTTGGGCAGAGAGGAAGTGGTTCATCCACGCACAGAAAAGGATGGCTCTTCTGTAGTCAAAATGTCATGGCAGGGTTTAAAAATCTGTCACCAGGAGGGAGCCCTCAGCTTGAGGGCTTGGGGACTTCTACTGGAAGCCTCCCGGTTGGCATCCATCTCCTGGAAGGACTAAAGGGAGGTAGAAGGGGAGGTGCAGGGCGGGCACTATTAGGAAGCTTGGTTTGCCAGGGTTCTTGCCTATCCCTGTGCACATTCTCTGTGTGCATGAAGTTGGCCGGGGGCTGGAGCAACCTGGAGGAATCCTTCCTAGGCTGAGGAAGGTTGAGCTCAGAGGACTCCTGGAGGCTGCTTAGGAGCCCTAGCTGCTAAGCCGTCCAACCCAAGGGCCAGGCCACCTACAGCGACCGAGCAGCTCCACTCCTGCTGGGCTGTAACCGGATGCCAGCATGCAGGAATGCAGAACTGAAATACCCAAGTAAGGAGGGCAGTTGGGATTTGTGCAAATGGATGTGTCTCAGTCACCTAAGCAAAAAGTGCAGCAAGGACTTTTCAATGAGACAAGTGCCTTCTCCTTCCTGGAATTTTACAGGATCTGGACGCTGAACAACAAGGGGTCTCCACGCAGGTCTCTCCCCAGTCTCCAGGGCAGCTGTCTGCACCGTTACTTCTCCCTTCTTCCCTCCATGCCCTCCCCTGAGGCAATCACTATTCAAACCACCTGTCTTGCCTCCTCTACTCCCCCTCCTGAGCTAAGGACTGGGAACCCCACTTTGACAGTTCCTGATCTCAAGTCAGACAGCTCGGAGGATGCACCAACACTGGAAGGAATCATCTGGATTTTAGTTTCTGTTTTATCGATTAATGAACAAAGCAGACAGAATCCCAAATATAATTATGTAGAGCTGTAGGAGAAAGAGAAAAACCCACTAGCCAACAGAACTTCCTTCTCAAATTTATATTCTAATGGCATGTAGGTGTGTAGGCAGAAGGGGGGATGAGAAGGTCTGGAGGAGGCATTAGATTTTAAATCCAGGAGTTTCTGGATGGCAAGAAGGATGCTGGAATACCAGCAGAGCAGCACCGGTCAGAGATCAGCAACTTTATGATTAAAACCCTCATGCGCACCTTATGCACTTGGGGTTAAGTGGAGGACAGTCGACCAACAAGTAGGAGCAGCCAGAACTGCTGTGAGTTTGGACGGCAGACCTGCTGGGTGCTGCTCAGGCTGAGCGGCGCCTCCCCACCCGGTCCCCAGCTGCCCCTGCCGCCTCCCGCGCTGTCCTTTAATGTCCCATTTTTATCACTCTCATCCACTCCCATCCCAGCTGCCCGACTGGCAAACATCACTGGAAAAGGCCAATCACTTCACTTCTCTGAGAATCAGTATGACCTTCTGGAAAATGGGTATGAGGACTTTAGAAGAAAGTCTCCTGAATCTTGGTGAATTTGTGCCAAGAGAGACTGGGCTGAAAGGAGGTATCTGTCATCTTATATAATGTGGTATTATATAATGCTAGATTACATATCTGTATGTACAATCATCTCTCTCTTTAAGACACAGACTGGCCCAATTAAGCCAGCAGAACTCTTAGTCTAATCGGGCCTGCCTCAAACAAGAATCCTCTACACTGGAGAGAGACAGAGTGCCAATGCCAACAGTAATATAATTTTCTCTCTAAAATATTGCTACTTTACAGTATCATTGCTGATGTATGATGACACAAACCACTCAATGAGCTTCTCAACTTCCTCTATCCTTCTGGCACCCTCTCCTTCAATGACTCTAGATTTTTCCGTACAATTGCCTCACTCCTATTCCTTCTGAGCCTCCTGACTGACCTCCATGAACTATGGTTTCCCTGCCACCCTCCCCGGGACATCACAAACCCCATTCACTCCTCTCCTTCAATGATCCTGGAGTCACCGAGATGCTCCCTCCCCACCCCACCCCATCCCACAATCCCTGTCCCCCCTCCAGAAACAGCCTCCTGACCACAGCTCTCTCAGCTCTTTGCACTCAGGCCAGGCCAAAACACAAGGTGCGCTCAGATTAGCTACAACCCTTCTGGGCTCCCAGTCCCGCCCCCGCAACCCCCTACACACACTCTGCAGAACCCAGAAAAGCCCCCTTTCCCTCCCACAGCTGATAGGAGCCTTGTTCTTCTGTGGCTGCCCTAGTCTGGTTGTCAAGGAAACCATAGAATCTCCCTGGGAGCCTGACTTGTCTCCTAGCAACCAATATCCCACATCCTGCATCTTACAAAATGAGAAAAAGAGGAATATCGGGAAAATGAAGGTAAAAATCAAGGAGAATGGACAGGGAGACTCAGGAAGAGAAGAGCAGAGAGGGTGGCCTACCAATTAAAGGCGGCTCCCACCCGGGCCGCTGACACTGTAATACCGGAGGAACAACAGAGATGAAACTCCCTGCAGATCCAATGAGCAGCAGGGCCCAAAGGGATCTTAAATGGTCCTATTAACAAAAAATGCAAGCCTAAACACAGAACAAACCTTCTCAAACACCCAAAAACAACGCTAAGAATTTTTCTCAGTAGTTTGTCAGAACTCAGCTGCACCCACTGCAATGGAGTTGGGTTGAAACACCTCAGGAACACCAACTACAACACCCATATTCCACTGGTTTTTAACGGAAACATTCCCACCACTCTGCACCTTTTTCCCTGACACGCTGCTCTGCACACACACACACTCTAAAAAATTTTAAGATGGGGAGGGGAAGAGCCACGACACACCAAAGCAATCAAGTCATCATCCCCTCCCTAGAAAAACCTGGAAAAGGCTAGTCCCCCGCCCCCTAAGGACTCAGCAGCCAAAGCTTTATGGCCAAGGGAAGAGCGGGGGCCTAGAGAAAGTCAGGAGGGGCGCAGACAGGCCGGGAGGGCTCCGCGGCGCGTTTCCAGAGGCTGCTTGCAACCCGGCTGTAACAGAAATTAATCATTTACTTACACCACTACATGTGACGGGGTAATTTCTACCGTAAGGAACACATCTCTTCCTGCTAAGCACGCTCATTTTAGTGAAAAGTCTGGGGTCACTCCGTGCGCGCAAGTTAGGACGATGCCGGCGTCGCGGCGCGGCTGCTACCGCCGCTGCTGTCGCTACGGCTCCGGGCCCGGGCAGGTCACGTTAGATCAGAAACTGGCACAGCAGCCCAAGGCGGGCTGCGGGCCCGGAGCGGCCGCGCGCGCGGCACTGCAGCCACGGCCTCTTCCGGATCAGCATCTCCCCACGCCCCGGGCGCCCAATGTCATGGAGGCGCGGCGGAGCCGGGCTGCGCGCCGCTGCTCGGACCTCGGACTGCTGGGCCGCGCCGCGGCGGTTCCTCGGGCTGCGGAGGCTGGCGGCGGGTGCAGGAGCGGAGCCGAGGGCGAGGCCGCCGCTGCTGCGCGCCCGGCGCGCTCCGGAGGCGCGGCCGCGAAGACGCCTAGCGCTGCAGTCCCGGGGACCGCTCGCGACCTCCTTTTTTCATTCACAAAAAACGAAAGGGAAAAAAAAGAAGAAGGGGAGGAAAAGCAGGGGGAAAAAATCGCAGCCGGGACTGGTACCGTGACAGGCACCGCCCACCGCGGCGCCCCGTTGGTGGAAAGGGGTCGGGGGGTGGGGCGAGGGCGGGGAAAGAAGGAGATTGGACGTCTCCGCGGCCCCGCCCCGCGGCGGGGTTCGCTCCTTTCCGCGTGACCTCCGCCACCTGCGGGGAAGCTGCAGGGAGGGTCTCGGCTGCCCAGGTGCCCGTTCACATCCCTCTGCCTGGTGAGGCGCAGAGCCTAGCTGGACCCCCACGGGGTTTTTTTCCCGTTTCCTCCGGGAGGCTGGGAAAGAACCCTTGAGAGGCAACCTAATCAGCCCTGGAAAGGATGCGATATAGGGAAGGAGGCTCGACATTTTCTCCGAGTTCTTTAAACCCAGGCCTCCACCACTTACTTGCCCGGGAAGAGAGGAAGGCAGCGTTTCCGTACAAGCCGTTTGCTGGCTTGGAGCTTTCCTGGCTCCTGGGGGGGTCTTCCTCCCTCCACCGCCACCCCTGAAGCTAAGCCTATACCTCGGATTGCCGTGGCACTTAACGATTTGGGGCGGGAGGGTGAGGGTTGGGGTGGGGCGTCCCTGTACCACCTTGTATGGGTCACCCACCTCGGCCTTCTCCCCCTCCATCTTTTCCAGCAGTCTCCACTTCCGTCCCACCCCCATCCGTTGCCACCGGATTTCACCAGTATCTTCTGACCTCTGGAAGAAATGCCATGAAGACACGAGGCCTGGAGCTTTGGACTCTGTCTCCATTTACTCCTCTGTGAAATAGACACGTTATACTTATGAATGGCATCTGTAATGTGAGTGGTCCCCAAAGGAAGCTTCCATATTCAAGGTTGGTTTAAAGATGGTCTTGAGTGCTAGTAATTACAGTAGTTAGCTCACACTGGCTTTATCCTCCTTGTCCATTACCTATGGACAATTTTTAGAGCCCAGACGGACATGGCTCCCTCCCACCCTGCTCCAACACACCTCCAGCTTGGGCTCCCAGAACGCAAATCCATTTTGACCACTAGTTTATGCTAAGTGTGATTGGTAAGAGAAATCCAATACCCCCCAAAAAACTAATTAAAAATGAATTTTGTGCTGTCTGAAGCACATCTCCCCCCCATCCATGAATGTACATAATTGGAAGTTGCCCATTAAAGTGTCAGTGATAAACCTGGTCTCTGGCCTGGCCCATATTCAGTAAGGGCCTGACTAGTGGAGGATGCTTCCCCACCTCCTTCTGAATCTACCTGCAGCTGGGGAAGAGGTTAAAGATAACAGAGTGCCACTTCACACTTCTAATAGGACTCAAGCTCCATAAAATAGGAAGTATTGGTTTGACTACATGCTTAGGGAAGAAACTAAACCATGTACAGGTGTGTTCTTCCCACATGTTTGGCGCTGAAGAGCCTCATCCCATCCTCTGTGTGCCAAAGATAACTGCCCCCAAAGGAAAGCATACATGAGATCTCTATGTGAGTTCCTGGGGTTTGGGGTGGGTGGGGGCAGGGCCTGTCCCCCAGCTCAGCTCCAGAAAGCAGCATGCAGAACACAGGCCTCACCGTTCATACATCCGGGCAGCAGGCCCGGCCCAGTGAGTGCAGAGCACTCCACCTGAAGTCATGGGGATTCTGGGCCTGCAGCTAAGCACCCAGTGTTTCTTCCCTTTTTGGAGAACAGCCAGGCTGAAGCTAGATGGGCCAGGAGAAGTTGCACACCCTGCTCATGTTCAGTAGGATGTCTCAGGCAGAGCCAGGTGCCCTGCTGGAAAATGTTGCCTTGATCCCTGCTCCACCTTTCGGTACATAATCCCCTTTCAGGGTTTCTTGAGACCGAAGTCCTTCCCAATCACATCACCTCTCAGGCATCCTCAGTCAGAGCCCAGTCATCCTTCTGTTATTCTCATAGTTCCCCCAAACCCCTCCTCCTCCAAAACCAATTGTTGCCACACCCCTGTCCCCTACAGGCCATTTCTCCCTGTCAAACCCTCCCATCTATGGTCTACCCTGGGTTGTCTGGTGCCTCTGCAGACCCTCCCTCAGACCAGCCTACTAGGACCCCCGCTGGTTTCCCATCCCAGGGAGCAGCTCCCAGGGCACCCGGAGAATACCAGCTGGACAGGCAGACCACCACCAAGCTTCAGCCACAGCCTCTGCCGCAAGGGTGGCTGATGCCGGCCTCCTCCCCACCTTGCCCTGGCCCTCAGCTCACCCCTCCCAGCCCAGCCCTGGGGAGTCCATTCTCTTCCCTTCATATTACTTCTCAAGTCAGGCCTGGGTGGGAAATTTTTCCAGAAAGGCTCCTGCCTTTTTCTCTCTCTGCCTCCCCTCAGATACAAGCACACTCACGCACCAGCCCTCCTCACCACTCCCCAGTATCTGGCTCTGGGGGCTTCCATGCCGCCCTTCCCCCGTCGGGCTGGGCAGTGCCCTGCCTTGGCCTGGCTGACTCCCCTGGGCGGTGCCTGGCTGCGGCTGGAGGTCTTCCCGGCAGCTTGGAGCAACATCTCTTCCCTCGCCACAGCCCTCATTTCCAGGGACAAAAACCCCTTGGCATAAAGTGTCCCCAAAAGGCACCCCCTCCATCTCTCCCCATAACCACCCTCCTCAAGGACATCATGTAGGACTGTTTTCCCGAAGCCTGTGAGCAGGAGGCCTCATCTGGGGAGAGAACTCTCCATCCTGGTTCTCAGGAAGGTGCCCATGCAGCAGGTTCACTGCCACCAAGCCCCTGCTTCCCTGTGGCTCTGAAGCCTCCCCGGTGCCAGCCCAAGCCCCACACACCCCTCTTGCCACACCGTGCCCCAGTCTGCATGCTCCATATGCTTCTCAGGCAGCCCAGGCTTCAACTGTTTGCAGGCTACTAACCTCTTCTCTCCAATCCTCTCCAGAAGCAGTTAAGCCTCTACAAAGCCCACCCCACAGGCCTTGTAACTGACCTCTGCCCCTCTGCCCAGCACTGTGCAGACTCTGGGGTGCATGGTGCTGCCACCCTGTGCGTGGGGCAGAGTTCAGAACCAGCCAAGAGCAAAAGGATGAAGAGGCCAAATCTGGAAAGTCTAGGGTCTCTCAGCCTCCTTGCTCAGGGCTCCACAAGAGGATGGGTCTCTTCTGGGCCTTTGCTCAAACAGGTCCTCAGCCTGACAGCTCTTCACCTGGATAATGCTTACTCATCCTTCAGATCTCAGCCTAGATGTCACTTCCTCCAGGGAGTCTTCCATGAATACCCTTTACAAAGCCTGAGTTCCTGCTCTATATAATTCCAATCACAGTGCTCTATCATTGGATCTCTCTCCCTCATATTACTGAAAACTCTTTAGGGACAGGACTATACTTATTCAAAAAAGTATCCTTTGTGCTGGTCTGGCAACAAGTTCTCTAGGTACTCAATAAAGGCCTGATGGATGGATAACAGTGGGGAACCTGGGAGGGGAGTTGACATCACCCAGTGGCTACTCACATGCTGTCCAGAGAGGTCTTCCACAGGGTGTACCGGCCTTTTCTTCGGGCTGCCATTGTTCTGTACTCCAGCCAGGCTCCTGATTGGGCTGGACAGAGGGGAATCAGGCCGGACAGTGGAGACAGGAGTAAAAAAAAAAATACAGGAAGAAAGAAAGAATAAGAGAGTTACCCAGGAGATATGGCCAGCTCCACCAGCCCAGGTGGAGGGGCCTACCCAGGACAGGAGCCTGGCTCCTGGTGTCCAGGCCCGGCAGGCTGGGACACTCAGCCTAAAGACAGAGGCCACCCCAGGGAGTCCAGGGACTACTTGAGGGCCAACCAAGCACAGGGGTCGTGGGCCAAACCATGTTGCAGGCACCTGCACATTCCGTACTGGTTTGCTAATTTGGAAAGAGCTGTCCATTGTCTGTCAGAAGGCCTGGACTCTGTCCTCATGCAGCTGTGTGACATTGGACATCATACCTGCTCCCAGGGCCTTGGCTGGCTCATGCACAAAGTTTGGGTCAAGTGACCTCCAGGGTTCATTCTAGCACTGACATCTGATATGGGTTCCTAGCATGGAAGGCCTATATTTTTTTGGCCATTGGAGCAGCTCATGACTCATATTGGGACTCAGCAAAATATCAGCTGGTGGCCGCCAATGCTGAGAATGAAAGAAAGAAGTATTTTGGGGACGAAAGGTAGGGATTAGACAACTGGTAAGAAACACAGAGAAAATCTAATTCTGCAGTGCTCCTACCTTCAGCTTCTTTAAATAGTCACAATCTTAAGACTAGTTTAACTAAAGAAAATTCTAGAATTTCAGGAGAGAGAGAGAATGATCAAGACGCCAGCCGGACTCTGTTAGCATTGTGTCATTACAGGGTAATGAGAAGGCATCTCTGCGACAGCCGCCCAGGGGCACGATGTCAACAAGGGGGAAAAAGCCAAGGGAAGAGGAGGCCCCAAGCCTGGGGTGGGCAGGGATGTGGGCAACAGCAGCCCCAAGAGCCCAGAATGAATAGAAACCCAAGCAGAGGAGAAGCCATTGCACCAGTTGGCGCTGACCTTGGTTCTAGTCTCCCCGCCATCAGAGACAGGCTGTGTGATTTGGGCAAGCTACCTGACCTCTCTGGTATGCCACAGATGTAACAATATTATTTGCTCAACGACAGGGGCTGGCTGGCTGATCATCTCATGACCCCTTCCAGGGCTAAGGTCAGAGATCCTACGATCCCTCTAACTCCTCCTCCACTTCCACCTGCTGCCCCTCCCATGCCTAGCTTAGCGCCCTGTGCAAAGGGGACCCAGCGCACTCGGGCCTATGCCATATGGTCTGCCAATGGAGAGCAGACAGCATAGAGAGCATGGGCTGAGGCTAGGAGGGTCTAACTACCAGGACCGGAAATCCGAGGCCTCCCTTGGCCCCGGTGCCCAGTGGGTCTTCTGAGAAAAGGAAGACCAGGGGAGGCAGTGAAGGGAACACAAGTGAGAACTCTGCTTGGGATCCTCAGAGGCTGGCCAGCTCCTCGCAGCCTTCCTACAGCCACACTGTGCAGCTGGCAGTGCTGCTCAAAGCGGGAATTGAGAATCTACTCCCAGGCTGGTCTGGGCAGGCTGCAACCAGCCCTGTCGTAGGAGGTCTGAGCATGCAGACCCCTTTGCCCACTCAACCCAAGCCCTTCTCCCCTGGTCCTGCCTCTGAGGAAGCCCATAGCTGGCTGGGGCCCCATGAAATACATTCTGCAGCTTTGAAGCTGAGGAACATGGGCACTTTTTGGCTATGTCTTTAAGGAGCTGCAAGTACCACCACGAATGCCATGGGCGAAATGCATGCTCCACCTCAGAGCTCCTGGGATGTTGCTTCTCAGGGTAGTGCTCCAGAAGCCACCACCCCGCAGGCCTAGAGCAGAAAGAACCTCGGTGGTGTTACTTCTGCCCTGTTTTACAGGCAGAAAAGTTAAAAGATGGGGGTCAAAAATGCACCTCTTGGCTATGCATCCAGGCCCAAGATCCCACACTTCAAGCAAGCTGTAGACCTTGGGAGAGGGGGCAGGCGCTTTCCTGGAGCCCCATGGAGATATAAGTGAGAAGCTCTGAGGAGGCTGATCACCCCAAAATAGACTTGTTTTTTTTTTTCACAACTTTTTCATGAGGCATTGGCATCTCTTGCAGCATGGAAGAAAAATAGCCTGAGCTGTTAACAAATAAAGATTATAAAAAGCCCCAACTGTTCCCCGTGGTTTCCATGTGGCTGCAGCATTCCAGAAGGGGCAGGGAGGAGGCTGGGAAAGAGGGCAGGGAGGTGTGTGTCCAAGAACCCCCAGCCTCCTCTCTTCTGACCCACTTTTCTCCCCTGTAGCTAGAGCTCACAGAGATAATCGATGTCAGGGATGGGAAAGTTTTTTGTTGACTTTCCAAAGTGGTCCACTGTGAGTGTGTATTATTGTTTACTGCTTTCAGATGAAGGAATGCATAGCACATATGTGCATCTTTAAAACCTAATCACATTGCGACGAAGCTGGTTTAAATTATGTTGCCCTACTGAGAGGACAGGGTTTGTTTAGTAAACACAGGGCTCAGTGTTCTTGTCAAGGGCAGCTTTGCCTGACATCGGAGCCCCTGTAGGCATGTGGCTTGTCAGTACCTTCATGAGTTTGGGGTTGTAGCTACTTTAGACCCAGGTGAAAGGACCGTGCAGGGCTATCAGGAAAAATACCTGGTCCTCACCTGCCCTCTGTGTTCCCCATGCAGGGCTCCTGGCCAGACCCTGCAGAGTCACCTTGCACCCTGGGCCGCAGCCCTGGAACCGTCTTGCGGCTTGGACACGAGAAAGAGAAGGTGTGAAAGGGCCTGCAGTGGGGTCTGGAACTGGGTTTCTAGCCCCTCAAGGTCCTCAGTGGTTGGCCTGGCTGATATCTGAGGAGCTCTGGCCCTGACCTTTTATAACCAGAAGAAGAAGAAGCGCCAGCTCCCCAGAGCTCCATGCTCCCAACAGTCTGGGATGGGCAAGCACCCTGACACCATCCATCCTTACAGAGCCCTTTCTTTTCTCCTTCCTCTTACCTTTCCTCCCTGTTCTGTGTCTCCCCTACTTGTCCTCCCCTTTTCCTGCCTCCTGAGCAGAGATTTCTATAAAAACAAAACCACGTGCCTTTGGCTTGCTCAAAAAGAGGAGGACGGCTAGCCGGAGGACCCCCGGGACACAAGAGACCCTACTGGGCATCATTCAACCCAGAGGGTCCTCCGGGCAGGCAGCCAAAACCTTCCTGAGGCGGCGACAATGCTGAGGGGCTAACAAGGCAGCCACCTTGTCCCTGGGAGTCTCTGCACCTGAGTGCCCTCTCCCAGCCGCAACCAGGCAGATTAGCGGCCAGCTGCCCTGAGAAAGCGCAGCTCCTCCCTGGGTCATGGTGGAGATGCGGGTCAGTGGTTGGGCAGGGGAAGCGCTGCATGAAGTGCAGTGGGACTGGTCTCGGGCCAAGCATTGCTGTGCAGGCTGTGTCCTTCCCAGTTTACTGGCCCCCCAGGGCAAGGTACCTCATGAGATGGGAGAAGGCAGGCAAACCAGACCCCAGGTCGCTGACATGGAGCCACAGAGGGTCAAGGGGCTAATGCTCGGAGTTGGGAGCTTCCCTGGACAGGTCAGCCCATTAAACAGCCTGTGGCACAGTCCTGGGGCAGAGGGTCAGGACAGCAGGTTGATACACAGCGGAAACACAGTCCAGGGCACCTACAGGCCACTGAACACTCGGCTCAACTTTCTCTGGGGGTCTGGGGCTCACCACATGCTCTGTAAAGTTCATGCCTGGCCACCCTGCCTTTCTCCCACCCACGGTCCTCTTCCTCCTGGACGACACCCTCAGACCCGTCTGGGAGCCCGAGCTGGGGTAGAGGCAGCCCTAGGAAGTGACTCAGGCACTGCCATCTCCATGCTCTAGCAGGAAGCCTCGGGCAGCAGAGCGGCAGCGGACCTGGCCTTACATCTGCCCCAATCACCATCTTCGACATGCAGAACTGTGGACAGAGAGTATCTGTCAGGGCCCCACCCTCTCTCTGCGTCCCCTGCCGAGCTGTGGCTGGAATGCGGGCTGAGGTGGTGGAGGCCACTGACAGCCCTGCAGGGTCGAAGGCATGGTGCTAGAGATTGTATAGTAATACAAAAACTTAATAATAACAATATTGTTATAAATAATAATAAATATAATAATACAATAATAATAATTTATCATGAGTTTACTACATGCCTGTTTTGGTAGAAGAGGAAACTGAAGCTTTGAGAAGAGACAGGACTTGCCAGTGTTGAAGGTACAGAGTGAGAATTCTGACCTGGCAGCACGCTCAGAGGCTCTCAGAAGACACCACACAGCCCCTGAGCCCATGCTGTTCTCAGTTCATATAAAATAACCCTCTTTATCTTACAGATGACAAAACTGAGGCCTGGAGCAGAAAACAGCCTGTGCAATGTCTCACAAGGAGAGGGTGGCCGTGTGGACCCAGAACCACTGTCCCCGGGTCAGACCATCTCTGGTCTCCAGCTTCTCAGACATGAAACTAGCAGTTCTGTCAGATGATCTCACCAGGTTAGAAATTCAGACTGTGATGTCATTATATGGTGCTGTTTTCTGCCATCAGGGAGGGTGACAGGAGGCAGACGGAGAGCAGAGAAGCAGGAATGGGCCAGCTGAGACTTGCCTCAAAGCCCTGCCCAGCCCATTCCCACCCAAACTCCTTGCCCCATAGGGAGTCAAGAATGTGGAACTGTTTTCATGCCCCAGGGCATGGGTTTTTAACTCAGTGGGTAGAATATATAAATTCAACAGAGGAACTGATAGGTCTTGACAGCTGGAGATGAGGAAATATGCCCTAGAGGTGGGGACATAGGGAGAAGACAAAACTAATGTAACTTAGAGCCCGTAGCAAAGGTTCCTGTAAACATGGTCAGCTGTGTCCTTAAATGTTCACTTTGCACAGCCCCTCAGCCAGTCTGACACTTGTGTGGGGCTGTGGCCTTGGCCACCTTTGTCAAGGCCCATGGCCACCCCCTCAGCCTTAGCCCCTTGTCTGAGTCACCGCCACCAAGCAGGGACTCTCTTAGGTCCCAAGAAGCCTCCACCTCAGCTTTGTCCCTTCCTAAAGCAGGAGTTACTCCCTCACTCAACTGTGCCTTTGCAAGGAAGTGACCGCAGGCTGCCTGGGGGATCTCAGCTGCCCTGGATCCTAATGCCTGAAGGATGGGGGCCTCCTGAGTGGGGAGGGGTCATTACGGGAACACACGGGGCCAGGAGTGAGCCGCAAGGATGGGCCAGGAGCAGAAGCAGCAGAGGGCAGGCATCCCCGGTATCGGCAGTGGCCCTTTAGGTTGTGGAGACGCAGAAGAAGTCGGAGTGGGCATGAGGGCTGAGGTGGCCCCAGAATCATAGTGGCGCTGAGCTCCACCCGGGCCAGTGGCTGCTTTGACAGATACGAATGTGACAGGCTGCTGATGGCAGACACTGTCTCCCTGCTTTCCTGCCTTCCCTTCCCCCCTGGCCAGGGTCACTGGGAGATACTAGCATCCAGGCCTGCTGTGGCGTGTCTCCTGTGGACACCCCCCGATACTCCCATTGCAGGTAGACACCTGGCTTCCTGCCCTGGACTGGCTGCCTCAGGTTGCTGGACCACCAGGCTGCTGCACATTGATGGGTAAGACACCCGATTTCCTTAGCCCGCCCACCCCATCCTTCCCACCTCCCTCCTTGTCGTCCTGAGGGCAGGGTGACAAGGTGAGGACAGGTGGAGGAGCCAGAACTCAGAGCTTCCTCTCTTTTGCCCAGGCACAGAGAAAGGGCCAAGGGGGCTGTGGAGATGGGCAGCACATCAGCCGCAGACTTACCTGCTGCCACTCCTCTGGCGCCCGGCTGGTCCGTCACCATTCCCTGTCTGGGAGCAGTGACCTGGGCCAGGTCAGCAGGAGGGAAGGGGTGAGTAAACAACACACGGATTTTAAGGGCTGGGACCCAACGCCCAGCCTATGGGAGCCAGGTGAGGGACACGGTCACTGTATCAAGGGGTGGGACCAGCAGGCTGGCCTCCTGGTCAGTTCCCTCCCCTCCCAGGGCTCTGCAGAGCCCAGAGATAAGCCACCTGGACAGGAGGCTCGGCTTCCATCTTCAGACAGGTAAGAATTCCTGGTGCTTCAGCCCAGCTCCTGACCCCAGGGGCCTGCACTGGTCTGCCCTCCGGGCTCTCTTTCTGACTTCTGTCCTGGCCTCTCTTCCTCCCTGGTGACTCACATTGCTTTGGAATTTCACTCCCCTGGTTTTTTCTGACGCACATCCTGGAAGCCTGGCCTGGAGCCAGAGAGCAATGCTCTTGCTTCAACCCCACCGGTGATTAATTTTGGCGACCTGAGCTAGAGGCTATACAGAGTTGTGGAAAGGGAAGCCAGGCTGGAGAGAGCAAAGTGCAGGGTGGGGGGTGCTGCTGGACGGGAAGCCTTTCTTCCTGCTTCTGCTCACCTGCACACAGGTAGAAAACAAACAGTGGGAAGGCCATTCGCCTGTGGTGATCAGACATACCCAGCTGGCTGGACAGGAAACCCAAGCAGACTGAGCCTCTGGGTGCAAAACCCAGACTGGCCAGTGTGCTTCTTGGGATGGATTTCTGGACCTCAGTTTACCCTGTGGGAGTTTTAAAATTTTGACAGCCCCTAATTTTGGGTGCTATGCATGTCAGCCTCCTTACCTGGGTGGTGGAGCTCACATATCCCTCCTGATGACTGGAACTCTGTTATCCCCTGTAAGTCCGGGAGAGGAAATCCTAGGGCAAAATACCTCTAAACGCCAAAATCAGTCAAAGGGAGAAGTGAAGTTTAAAATCCATTTATTGCTTACAAACTGCAGTCCAGGGCCTGCTCTCTTTCCTGCTCCAGCAGAAGCAAAACCCGGCACCCCTCACCTGTCAGGTACAGACAAGCCCTCTGTTGCCCAGGTAATTGATATGGAGATGAACTTCTCTCCACCCCTGAGGAATGATGCAAATGCACTAAAGCCATAGTTCTTCCCACCTCTGAATGCCTATTGATATGTAGATGTACTAAAGCCAGGCGAGATATTCTGGAAATACTACAATTTTACTCTCACACCCCAGTCTGCATGTTATGTGAGAGGCTGCCCCTGTGGGATCATGAGGGGACGGGAGGAATGTCGTGACAGTGCCTGGGCTGGGAATTGAAGACCTGGATGCATTGCCAGGTCTGCTACCCGGACTTCTCCCCACCAGGAGTCTCATCAGTGAAAAGGGAGAAGGTCCTGCAGCCCTTACTGAGCCCGGCTGTGGTCTCCCATGTGCGCACAGGGAGCTCACAGCCACTCCCTTCACTCTGTGTGGTCACTGCCTTCTCTCCTCCAGAAGGTGACTGCTTTTCTCATCCCCCCGCCCCTCCACCCGACTCTCCTTCACCTCTTCTCTCTCCCAGCTGTCTGGGAACAAGGATCAGTCCCACCCTGCCCCTTCCAGCCCTTCTCCTGAGAAGTAAAGGGCTCTGCACCCATCTTGCAGGCTGACCCCTGGGAGTCACAGCTTGGGCAAGGCGAGACCCTTGGTGTATTCAGGAGATGAAGCCCTCACCCCTGTCCAGCCTCAAGGAAGACTCATTGAGAGGAACCACCACACAGGTCAGGGGCCTGGCCTGTGGGTGAAGATGATGTCGCGTCTACTCTCTGGTGGCACAGCTCTGGTCTGTAGGGGGCTTTGGCGCTCAACTCACCACCTTCTCTCTTGCAGCCACACTCAAGGACTATGACCACTTGGGAGGCTGTAGAGGAGTACAGGGTGGGGGTAAAGACATGAGTCTGTGCCCTGATACCCCTACCAATGATTATTATCAGGAATTGTTTTCAAATTAAAAGTACATTTAATAAGACAATACATCATGACCAGACAGGCTTAAGAGTTTGAAATCCTGAGTCAGTCTGTTTGAGTTCAAGCCAAAGAGATTGATCCACTGACAGGTTTTAGATATGCCACATTTCCTTATGTAGTCGTTTGTATTTTTAAATGAAGTCATAAACAGTATGTTCAATATAACATTATCCAAGCTATAAAATATAATAAAGAACCAAACAACGGTGAACCCTTTACTCAGCTGGAAAAAGTATAGTACAACTCATACACTGCATGGATGGAGCAATACATGTGCAGCCTCCAATTCCTACCTCCCACCTCTCAACAGAGGGACTCTGTTCTGCATTTTGTGCTTGTCATTTCCTCAGTGATTTAAAATATTTTATATCAGATGGTGTGGGCATCCCTAAATAATACAGTGTTTCAGTTTGCTGGTTTTATGCTTTGAGAAATGGTATTAGGCTGTTTGTGCATCATCTTATCAGACCCGTGTTTTCTCAGCTTATGGTCTAACATATAGCCACCCTGCTGTGGGTAGCTGTGGTTCCCTTATCTTCAGTACGGGCTGATTCCCAGGGCTACAGCTTATGATTCTGCTGTCTGGTTCTTGCTATTAGGAAAACTGCTTCTTAGAGTATTTTTATGTTTGTCTTTGAGTGCATACATTCAACCATTTCTTGGTGGGTATATACCTAGAATTGGACTTGCTAGGTTACAGGTATGTTTGTGCCCAGCTTGACAAGGTCATGCCAAAGTATTTTCCAAAGTGGCTCTGCCACCAGCAGAGTAGAGGACTTTCAGTTGCTCCACATTCTCATCTCCACTTGGTTTTGCAGATTGAAGGGTGACCCCTCTGTTGGGTGCCTAACGGTATCTCTGTGGTAATAGCCTGTGTTTCTCTGACTATTAACAAAATTGAGTGGATATCTTCATGTGTTAGTACATTTGTGTTTCTTCTCTTAGGGGGTGTCCATTCATGTCGTTGGCCCATTTTTTTGGACCCCATTATTTTCTTATCATCAGTGATTTGTATGAGTTATTTATAGATTCTGGAACTAATATATTTCAATTATTCAGCGATTAAATATTTTACATATTAATATGTATTATTAAATATAAAATTTAATATGGAAAATATTTTTTTCAGCTATAAGTATGACAAATATTATCTCAGAGTGTGGCTTGTTATATGACTTTCTCTTCGGTAGGTTTTGATGAACATACTTTCTTAATTACATTGCAGTTGAATTTATCAAGTTTTCTTTCCTGGCTGGTATATTTTGTATCTTGATTAAGAAACCCTTCCCTCTCCTAAGGTGATAAATATAATTTTCTATGTATTTTCCTCAAACATGTTCATCTTGCCTCCCCTATTTACATCTCCATTTGTAATTGGTTTTTATCAATTGGGCATTTTGCTTGTTTTTGTTAAGAAAAAAACAGTATTTTATTTTAAAAATACTTTTCTGGTTCTCTAACATTCATTAATAAAAAATAATTAATAGGAAACTTGAAAAATGCGAACAAATTAAAAATCGTTAACATTTTCACCTCAACAGGCAAAGATACCTAACGTACATCATCCGTATAACCCTATGTATGTACCTTTTTTAAATATTCTTTTTTATATTTCATTTTTCTCATTATTGAGGTTCACAGTAGAACAGTTAGAAAGTGGAAAATAAAGAAAGAGTAGTGTGTGTCTGACACTACTCTGAAAGTATTCTGTGCCTCACAACATTCTAACGGTTATTCATGAGCAGTGTTCCCCACCGGCAAGAAGATTCCAGGTCACGGCCATCACTCCCACAAGTGCAGAGACTTTCCAGCCATATCCTTGGTCAGGAAGAGACTCATATACCCTCTCTGGAATAAGCATATCACTGGGGGGACTCTGACAAGCCAGCATAATTCCAAAGCAGGCCCTCAAGTTCCATAAAAAAAAAAATTATACTGTTGAGTATTTAATGAAACCAAAGTACATGAAATCAGTTATTTAAATGACAAGTCATGCCTCTATCAATAATTTTTTTTCCTTAAGGTAGAAAATAAAAACATAGTTTATGATCACCATCTCTAAAACCAGGTCTTTTTTCCCCCCACATTTTACTTGCTTTACTGTGGCCAAATTATCAGCCTCAGAGTTTTAGCCCTTTTTAGGAAAACTGCTTGAACTGTGTTTCATTTGATTAGTATAAAAGTCTACACATTGGTACACACATGTCTGCATGTTGTCTGTGTCCCACCTACACATGAGGCAGGCAGAGCTAATCAGTCACTATTTCTAAACTGAGGCCGGAAGGTGCCTAACAGCCACAAGAAAGCCAGAGCCGGTACCAATGGATTGGAGTTTGTACAGAATCTCCAGCCTAGCTTGGACTTGATACTTCCACCTGGGTACTTGAGAATGAGGGCATGGAGGAGGGACAGTGGACTGCTGGGAAGGAGGTGGAGGAGCAGAGGCCCCCACTAACCAGTAGAAAGAGCAGGAGAGGGTCCAAAACAGACATTGCCCTCTTGCTCGGGCCCTCGCTTGGACTGCCGAATGAAAACAGAGATAATGGCCCCAAGCAAGTAGCCACTGCGTTTTCCTGCACCTGGGCTCAGGTGCAGCAGGGAGAGGACAGAGCCAGAGGCTTCACTCTTCTAGTATTGCTGCAGAAATGCCTGGGCAGGTCCTAGTGCTTAGCCTCTTCAGCGACAGACATCGCCACTTACAGAATGGGGCCTCTGAGATCCCAGTGCGAAGGCTGGGGCTGGGGGAGTGGGCAGAAGGGCCAGCTGCACCTGAGCGTGAAGCTGTCCAAATACCCGACTGCCTGGGCTGAGCGGCGTGGCGCTGCTGCAGCTGGAGCTCAGCTGACCAGGCTCAGGGCCAAGTTTAGGCCCTCAGCCCCCTGGAGAGCCTGGTACTTTCCTGTAAGGGCATGCCAGCTGGAGTGGGCTTACTGCTCATCCTGCCACCCCTGGAGAGTAGACAGAGGTGCTTCAGGGGCAGGTGGGAGAAAGGGGTTGCAGAGGGCACCTACCTTCAGTCACTGCCCCTACCCCTTCCCACCAGAGGAGAGCCTGTCCCAGCTGCAGCTATGAGTTTCTGGCAGGGA